GGCAAGCTCATGTTCAACACACAGCGCGTTCATGTTGAACATGTGGCAAGGGCGTGTTGAACACATGGAGAAACTGTATTCAACACACTGCAAGCTCATATTCAACACATGTCAAGCTACATGGCACGCTCTAGTTAGCCACGTGGCAAGTTGCAGCCACTTTACATAGGGTCATGTGTAATCCTAAGCCGCAGCCGAGTAATTTCAGATGTGGCTTTTACCCCGTTCTTTCTCCCTCTCTTCCTCCTCCTTCCGGCGCTGCGCCTCTTGGTGCTTGGCCCACTGCACCCGGTAGTTGACCTGCTCCATCACCCGCTTGGCTTGCTCGGCTTCCTGCCGAAGTCTGCTCTGCAGGTCCTTGGGCGGAATCAGGATCTGGGAGGGGAAAACAAGTTTACTTTCAACCTAGGCCTACAGCAGAGGGTTTACTGCTGTTACTCAGATGAAAAAAAAAAAGGTGTAACGCGATGACTGATGATGATATTACACGAAGAACAGCAAAACCAATGGAAAACAAAATGAATGAGACAGAAAAAGAAGGTGTGAATATTCACAATAGCAAACAACATCACAGGGGTTCACAGGGCGCGCAGTGTCTCAAACCGTATCTGTTATTCAAAGACGCCCCCGTATTTTCATCAGCTCTGCTTGTTGGGCCGACAACATCTGAATATTCCTGGGACACCCATCAACTCCGCGGGAAGTGTGCACTGGCCTGATGCTGCCATTTCAGACACAGAGAGCTGCACACAATAACCAACTCTGTCCTCGGAGGTCCCCACTTACTCCTGGGTGGAGGGAGGCGCGTAGGCCACTAGGGGTGCGGTGACTTACCCGACGTCACCAAGTCAATATGCACGACCATTTGGTCATATTTTTTATCATAAGCATTTTTTTGCCGACGTGCCTGATTCTGCTGAAATCTAGGACTGCGCAGTAAACGGTCTTAACAATAGAAGGGTTATACCAACGAAGATAATAAATAGGGAGACACTTTGCAGCTTTCAACAGCCGGAAGCGCACCACTTCTCCCTGAAACGGCTATATTCGCGTGAATTCTGCACTCAGAAAAACCCACGACTCTGAGGGTAAAAAATTCCCGGAATCCAGAAAAATCTAAAAAGAATCCAATGCCTAACTTCTAGCACATAATTTCGCTTTAATTAAAAGCACTGTACATGTACATGGCAGGGAAGCACAAGCCAAGACCCTTTCAGACGCGGTGTACGATGGATTACATTATTACCGGCAATGCTCAAGTACACCTTCCCATCGAGCCAAATTTCAAGGCTACACAGCTCGATAAATTGGATACCAGTGCCCAATTTCCTGGCGCTGCTTACCGCAGAATTCCGCACTTACCATCTCCATTCTGTGCCAACCAAGCTAGCAGAAAAATTCCGCGCTAACCTTTTAAGCACAGAATCCTCAGTTACGGGATGTACACATGCGCACGAGCCTAGATTCCTCGCTAACCCGTGAAATACGTTCGCCTTAAGCACAGAATTTCCTGCTCCGGTAAGCGCCGATTTTTCGCTTGCCGTGAAGCAGCACCATGAAATTTGATTGGGCCCAGGTCAAGCCGGTGGCAAGTTGGCTTTGACTTTTATTTCAGTTTTCCTTAATACCTTGGTATACTGCTCCACCAGCTTGGTGAAGTAATTGAACATGCTGTGCTGGGGACGCAGGAAATCAAAGTGGTAGTTCCTTTGCTCTCGGTTCATCAGGCTGGTCAGGAACTGACGGCCGTTGCGAGCCACAAACTGCGCTGTCAACTTGACAATGTCCCTGGTATGAAGGAACCAGTGATGATTGTAAGAGCAAGAATTTCAAAAGTTCAAAGTGGTAGAAATCATTCCAAATGTACAAGTTAAGAAGGGGACAACTGGGGGTCATTTGAGATCAGGATTCCAAATTTACTTTTCTAAGCACATCGCGCCGGGGCATTTATGAATGTTGATGATGCTGGGAGGGGAAAGTTTTTTTTTTCTGTTTTCAAAATTCTTTTAAAATTCATATTTTCATTAATACGGGACACTTACACCCACACATAGGACTGTCTGGTTTGTACTCTCATCTGATGGACAACATCTATTGACGCTGGAGTATTTCAGCCAGACCTGATGCCTTGTTAAAAGAGCCCAGATTTTTTTGCTTGGCCTAACAGGGTTTTATTCAAGAACTGTTAAAAACAGCATGACCACCTGAATTGGAACTTTTTACGACCGAAAGGCTTGCAAAAATAAAGAGAAACAAGCACAATCACTCACAGCTCAATGGCACTAATTGTTGGAGGGTCTGTGACAAACTCTGGCTCCGGGGGAGGCTCCTTCAAGACGACTGTCTCTGTTGCCTGGGGGGTTACTTTGGGCTGAAGGGACGATACCTGCAAACAAAACACCCTCGACAACATCAGGAAAAGCCAGCGACTTCAGGGTCAAGCATTAGTTAATCCTACACTCCTCAGGGTATTTTGCTGGAAAGAATTGGACAAGTCCATGAGTTTGCCCAGGTTGCATGTACAGGTATGTCCTATGCATGACGGAGATTAAACCTTTGAGCCTCATTTGAGGATTTGAGCTATTTTTCGTTCTAGTGTTGGCCATCTGGATCGAGAATGCCTCCAAGAACTTTTGCAATTAAAGAAAACGTGATGTTTTTGGAAAAAAGGGAACCTTTGGGTCGACTTCTCCAATGCCCTCTCCGACCAAACTAAGTTTTAAGGGGGGCACCTGTTCATATTTGGTTGACTGTAGCAAGGAATGGATGGGGTTCAATGACCACAGGGAACAAGAAAGTACGCTGACCTTTTTGGTGTTTATTACACTGACAAAGTATGATGGTCTGATATGGAATTCTTTCCATGTTGGCACAAAATCAGCTGAGGGCAACATTGTGTAAAGAAGTTGTTGTGTGTGCACCATTCTCTTAAATAACACCCTGGTAATGAGCGACTTTTGAGAATTAAAAGTCCTTTCCAAAGAAGCTGAACAGAGATTGCTGTGTCCAAATCACCACTCTGAGTCCATATCCGGCTAATACATGTACATTAACATTGGCTACAGAGTACAGACAGCATGAATGTGTTCATCATCCTTACACAATTTCAAACATGTGTCTGACCCCGTATTGGACGACTCAATAATTGATCAAATATCCAAGTACTCAAATAACGGGCACAGCCCTACTCCAGCGATCATGTGATCATGGGCCACAGGCAAAGCACTTTCATTTTAGTGTCCCTTGACAAGTGTCAAACCCGTGGCCGGGCTAAGTTGGCCTGTCTCCCCTCTCACCTTGGACACAGCAGGCGCGATGGTGGGTTCCTGGGCCTTACCCTCCAGGAATTCCTGCACCTTGTGGCGGAAGTAGGCATGGTAGGGGTCGCCGTGGTTCAGGAAGTTGAACTTGGCGTTGTTGATCTCGTTCTGCCTGATCCTGTGCTCAAACTCTGGCCCTGCAGCCCACCAACACATTGACCAACGATGAAATAAATGGGAACGGACCTTTCCCACGAAATATGCAAATAAGGCAGGCACATGTGCATTACTATCACTGGTTAGCAAAGTTGCTTAAGTCTATGACATAACAATACGAATCTCTATGCACGCCACTGTCACCGTTTCTGTACTAGTATAGTTTGACATAAGTGCCGAACTCAAAGACAAGGAATTGTTATTTTCCAACATCAGGACACTGAAAATTTCACTTAGTTTCAAGAAAAGAGTGCTCAAGTATCGGACAAAGGCTGTAATACGGTTTTGATTGACCCTCAACGCTCCAGGTTAGGGAACGTTTCATAATTACAGAAGGTGGTATTTACTGCGGTACCGCTGTTTTTTTGCGGTACCAGCATTAAGCCCTTTCGGGAAACTAGTGCGGTGCCGCTAAAAAAACAGCGGTACCACAGTAAATACCGCCTTCAACAATTATGAAATGCTCCCTTACAGTTACTAGCAGCTTGCCTACACTGCTGACACTTTCAGCGACAGTGTTGACGGCCCCACTTGCCAACCAGTGGTAGTAGTGTGCATGCGCTCGTCTAATTTGCATATTTCATGGAAAAGGTCCATTGAGCAATCAACACTTTAAATTCTCACAGCTTTTCATGTTTGACAAGACAGCTTACACCAGAGTAAACCTGGGAAATTTCAACGCAATGTTTGACAGACCTAGTCCTAGGGAGTAAGGCAAACAAGATTACCATACTGCTTACCATTTCTGGCAACAAATCCAGCAGTCTTGTCAACGATGTCTGTGAGTCACAGGTCAGGAAAAAACTGGGGACACAGACATGGTGCATGAACGTGAGTGCTTTGTATATTTATTTACACATGCGCAGTGTGCATGCATGTACTTGTACAAATGCAACACAGAAGGAAGAAGTGTCAATCACATCCAAGTTCCAACCTGTGTATACCTACATTTGTACATCAACATTTCATGCCTGATGGCGGCTGTCGATTCTGTAGGTAGGCCCTATACACGCTGTAGAGAATGTGAGACTTAACCCTTCCCTTTCAACTGTGAGTCAAACATGTCAAAACGGAGGGGATTGTAAATTTGGGGGACCCTGTTCCAATAATAGAAGGGAAAGCTACATTTTAACTTTGGATTTACCTAGATGATAGTATGACATCATGCTCAATAACTGTGTAGAGCTGATGTCAAAAAGGGCAGGGTTTTTGAGTTTTGAGGGAAATTATGAGGGGAACTGTGAACACGACACATGGTGGACTCAAATTTGCATGGCTGGTTTATCAGTAAAAAAAGTCACATTTTCTCACAATTCACAATTTGAAATTTCCCCAAATAAGGAGAGTGTAGGCCTAGCCTTAGTTTTTTAAGGGGACTTTGGGACCAGTTTTGCAAGATTAAAATGACAAAAAACAGTGGGGTGACCAAGTATACAATGCCCAAACAGGAAAGGTAATTTCTGGATGGCAGAAAGGTTTAGTAAACTTAACAAGCTGGAAGATCAACTGATGATGTCACACAACAACCTGACTGCTGACAACTGACATTGACACACAATAATTTAGGCTACCATGATCAGCCTAATTGGGCTATTTCGCTCAACAAACTACAGAACTAGTTGAAAATAAATTGACAAGGATACTTCTGACCTCTGGTGGGGGGTAAATGATCCCCACCATGGGTTTACTGACGACTGGTGCTGTCTCGTCGACTTGGCGGTTACCGGGAATTTCTTCATCCGTGACCGTCGGAATCACTTCCACCGGCATGATGATGTTCGTTCAGTCGGTGGCCGCTAGTACAAACACGATGGGCTCTGTTTGTTAAAAACAAGTACACTAATAACTTCTCCAAATCTGGAAGAGTCGAGAACAACGTGTCATACTTCGTCTACTAATGTGAAAAATCCAACTTTTCACGTTTTTGAGCATGAAATGGATTACGGGTTGAGTATATTCATGCAAACGTTTCTTGCGTATATTGAGAATAAGGACGATGAAAAAATGTATGCAGTACAAGGATATGTGGAGCGACAAATTTAAGGGGGGGGGGTGTCCAAGCTCTGAATTCTCTTTTAATTAAAATATTAAATGATTCTTCTTACCTCCGTGCTAATCTCCATCGGGAGGGTCACCATTTTAAGAGCAGTACAGTTACGAAATAATCAAAACTATCGACTTAATTATAGAAAATTGAACTAATTAAAAATCATCGTGATTGTCAAGTTTTAAACGCAATTTAAAAATCATACCAGTATTGAAGAACAGTAGCACGAATTTCAAACAGTGTTATATTTCTAAGGTCACCTAACAGCTTTGAATGTCTATTCTTTTTTACAAAACGCACCGGCGATGTGTGCCACGGTTACCGGGAAAAAGCGAAGCAATGTGCCTACCCAGCAAGCTGCAGCTGTTTCTCCGCCCCCCATACTTTTAAGCGATGCATTCTACACGCTCAAGTGAGTCGATTGGCGGCTACAGGACCCCTGTTGGCGCTATTAAAAATGTTAGACTGGTACCATGGGTACCATAGGGGTGCACTGAACCAATTCGAGCTCCATTGAAAATAGTGTAAAATCAACCAAGTTTGGAGCCCCATGGCAGACAACTGAAGTCCCTGAGGCCTCTCAAACAAAAAACAATGTGTTGTTTGGTCCTTCAGGTTTCATTTGATTTTCAATTTTTAGTAGGTTAACCTATAAATTTTTTAATTATCCGCCCAAAACAAACTCACCCCCCAAAAAGTGAATGTTGCCAAGCCCTCCAAGCGGCCATTTTTCAAATGACATCCCTCACCTTCGGCGGGCTCTTCTGACGAATTTTCAATCCCATTTTTGTCTGCTTTGGCCTCGGATGGGTGCCCCTGAATCTACAGAGATGATCCTGGGCCGTACTGACACAATCCCACCATTTCTTGGCCCAAACAGACCCCTCTTTTTGAAACAATCTCTGGGGGGTACTTTTTGTGCGCCTCCGGCTGGCGGAGAATTTTCCTTGAATTGGGACACTGCACCCATAGGCCAATTTTCAGTTACACACTGTATGACTCGGGCACACGTGATTCTCCGTCGCGGTTGTTGATTGTAATAAATTGAATTCGATTAAGCTCACTCCAAGAAAGAGAAAAACTTACTACGATAATCATTGAGCATTTCAAACCATTTCCTTAACTACAGAAATGATGGGTTACACATGTGCACTCACACAAGTGTGTTGACGCTCAGCAGATGAACTTCACTCGCACAAAAGAAGGGATGCGTCCGTCATCTCCCATGTAGAAACATGCTGTTGCCTTTGATTCGATTCTGTCCTTATGATTACAATTCTTCCTTCTCTCTGCTTTTAAAAATGTTTTAAAGGGGAAGACATAGAAATTTTCAAAAGTTCTTCTGGCCTAAGGTCCAAACTGAAATCTGAATATACAAAGTATAATTAGCCTAGACCAAGTTCTACCTGGGTCTCTTCTTTCTTTCAAGCTTTTTATACTTTTTTTATTCCATAATTTGGAATTATTTTGTGAAGAATCTTTTCATTAATATCGACTCATCATTAAAAAATAAAAAACACCCCACCAGAAACTCTTTAAAAGTTTGTCAGTTATATATCATGCAGCCAAAGGACTATTTGCACAATGAGGTCAAAGTTTGCTTGGTCACTTTGGTTTTATAAGCCACTTAAAAGATTACATAAGGGTGAAATATAAAGCTATGAGCAACTCATCGGGTCCTCAATACTATCGCAACTCTGGAGCAGGTGAGCATACTTACCAGATTTCGGCCTTAAGTAGTACATCGTAATCCCATAAATTTGTAGATGGTTAGTAGACGAATGATGCCTGTTTCCAAACGTATCACTCCCATCCCGTACTATCAAATTGCGACAATTGCAACTGAAAGAGATTATACAGCCGCGTCAGGTGTTCATGCATGAATTAAGGCCGGGTGCATGATGCCGTCCATATTACGCCCACTATATATATAACTCTAGTCCGGAGGTGCAACCTTCGTGCTCTAATATGCTAACACCATAGTCGGAAAGTTCTGATCATATTAATTTTTGCAATTTTTCCAAACAGATAAATACGTTTCTCCCCTATGTTCTCCCATAGTTGGTCTGACCATTCCTACCGTTAATTACATTTACAAGTTACGCCCATTTCTGTGCAGAAGTCATGGGTGTTCTGAAGGGAATTGTTCTGTTCGCCGTTCTGGCCGGAGCATGTGTGGCTAGGCACATTGCTGCCGAGCCAGCATTTTGTAGAGAGCTGGAGTGCCCAAAATTCACCACCGATTACACAACGAAGGTAGGTGTTCTGCAAATAATATCTGCTTCATTTTCTACCTGAATATTTCTCGTAAATCCTTATGTCTGTGAAATATGAGCCAATAGTAGGCCTAAGTCTGCCCCTTCCAGATTGTAGGTCGACACAGCTCGACCATTTAAAACTAAAAATGACTTGTCTGTTACACAGACTAATTCATTTCAATACGCATTGGTGCATAACAGAAAATCATAACCTTAATCCCTGCTTATTGTTCAATACTTTTGACTTCAATACTGAACCGAGAAGATTTTTCCCATCAAAGGATTCGTCGATAGTTTGAGCTTGTCCAGAGCGCTTAATTTACATTATTTGTTTGAGCTCTGGTCAATGTGTTCGTGCGTGGAATGTACTTTAATTTGGGACATATGAGCCATTCAAAACGTGTTGTGACATTTATGCTTCTTTAAAAAATATTTGAGTGTGTGTGAAAGGGATAGCCTTTTCCAGCTCAAGGCCTTATAGAATCTGGGTAGAGGATCGAACGAAAAAACAAAGTCCATTGCAGAAAATCTGAAATTGGAGTCATTAAAAGCCAGCCGGCTCAGCCGAGGTGGTTGTCACTTTCCAGTATTTTGTAAGTTCCGTTAGCAAAGTGTGCGTTTTGGGGTTGAGTTAACAGGACTACGAGAAGCGGACATATCCACAGTCGATGTGGGTCAGCACCACCATCATCGGTGTTGACTACCAAGGTGCATCCACTCAAGGCTTCGACAAGCTCTTCGAATACATCAGCGGTAAAAACTCAGAGAGTAAGTAAATCCAACCGAGGCCGATGCATTTTGGAAAAACACAAAGCAAAACAAGCAAACAAGTACCAGTGGATTTCACTTTTGAGCATCAATTACACTGGCGTTTAAAAAAAAAATAATAGGTATACAAAAGACGATTTTGCCCAAATTACAGATACTGTGAGAAATGTACCAATCGAAATACAGGCGCAGTTTGCCGTCAACGTTCTGAAAGTTGCTAGCAATTAATGTAAGCCTTAACTCTCGACGAGACTCTGATGTGCGATGGAAATCCCAAAGTGTGCAATATCGAGAATTCATATTTTCTGTTCTTGGTGCCTTTTTGGATATTTCTTGCGCAGAAAAGAAGATTGACATGACCGCCCCGGTGATCACTCGAGTTATGCCTGGTCAGGGGCCAACCTGCGCCGACAACTTCACCGTGTCCTTCATGGTCCCCTTCGAGTTGCAACCGAACCCTCCCCAGCCTACGGATAGCTCAGTGATTGTGTCTACCCTACCAGCACACCAGGCTTACGTCAGGTATCTATCAAACAATAGTTCCACATAATGCATTGATCAAATTTGCTGTGAATTTGCCGTGCATGATAAAACTTGTCAAGGTCACTTCAGTGGTCGTCAACAGATCCGGAAGATAAACAATCCGCACCCGTGTTAGAATGGGTTTTTTTTTTGCCCAATTAAAAGATAAACTGTGCACCTTCCTGGTTGGCCATGTCCACCCTCGTGTTAATCTGTGCTTTTTATAAATGTCGTTCTATATTCGTTGTATTAAATTAAAGGAAATTCATTTTCTCATTTTACTATTTTACTCTATGTATAACTTTTTATGCATATTGCACACAGCAAACCAATTTTCATTTTTTTAATGGGACGATGTGATAAATAAATGAAATAAGTTGTTTACAGTTGTTTTTTATTTTGTTTATGACTAATACAGTCGCACCTCGTTTAATAAAGGCAGCCTTAATACAACAGTCTGCTTACAGTAAGGAAATGTTCGGTCCCAATTCTTTGTGCTTCAATGTTCTCATGCAGTACAAGGTTTCTGGTATAACAAAGTAATCTACAAAGTCTGGACGACGTCTTAGAGGCTCGACTGTACATGCAGTTGCAGTTTTCGTCTGCTTTATAGTAGGCCTAGACTGGCTGGCAGTCGTTCTAACCGTTTCTGTCTCTCTTGTCTGGATGGCTAGGTCTTACCCTGGTTTCTCGAATGAGAAGAAGTTTCTGGAGGAAGCCGAGGCTCTGGCTAAGGCTTTGAACAGCAGCCAGCCGTACCAGAAGAGCTTCTACTACACGGCCGGCTACGACAGTCCCTTCACTGTCCTGAATCGCCACAACGAGATCTGGTTCATTATTTAGAAAGGAACTCCAGCATCCAGGTGGCAAAGTCGACAGCGGACGGTCGCGTGAATTGATCTTCGATAACTCATGGCATTCTCTTCTTAATCTTGTTAATCGAGACTAGCTAACTTTTTGTTTAGGATCTGCTCCTTGCTTAAAGTGTAGCTTCATTTGGGAATTATGTTCAGAATTAAACACTATGCAAAGCCCAGAATCACGATCATTATTTAGGCCACAAGGCCTCAGAAATCTCACATTCATGTCACATTCATATCGAGAGATCTTATTTGTTATTTCAGTTAATTCTCTTCAGCTTTGAGTTTATAATCACACATTGATACAGACTGTGGTACTGGCCAGAAGCACCATTATAATGATTATAAGAACTTTATACAGATCAAAGTAGGCTTGCATAATGGTATGTTAAATAATAATGTAAATTATATCCATTGTTACCTTTTTGATATTAGCTAATGAAACTGGAATAAAGCGGTTCCCACCAATGATAAACATGGTACATTTAATTTGAATGGTTAATTGTGACAATTCTCACATAAAAGCAACGGCAAACGCTGTCATATCCAATCACTGCGTGAATATATGCACACGTATACATGAAAAAACCGCGCCCGCCCTCAGGCTAAATTGTTGCCTATACCAACACTACGCCTGCACGTTTATGACCCTCCAAGGGTGTTTGCGCAGTAGGAAGCACAGAAGGAAAAACTACACGTGTTCGCCGAAAGATAATAATGTTCAGGATTTCCGTGGACTTTTGGGCGGGGGGGGGGGGTTATTGGAAACGCCAATCATCATCAAATACGTTGCCAGTTTGCTGCCGTTGCGTTCTGCTCTGTTTTACCCCCTCACTTTAACAGTTTTCACACAACTTCACCAGAAAACTGAAGACCAGGTTTTACAACACCATCATATTCCTTTTTTCACTTGACTTGAAATATCACAAGTTTACAATTCACCAAAAGACAGTTCTGATCAGCAATTATGACAGTTATGCATGGCACAAAGAAGCAGCTCATTGTTTGCTCACAGAGGTCAAAGTTTTGCCGCTCACAAAAGCTGCACACCATCCGTCATACGGTACCCTAATTTCGACAACCAACAGATTAGGAGACTAATGAAGGTCCAATGTACGGGCTATCCAAGTCCCTTCCTACTGTGGGTTTTGTCAGAATTTTAACGAAATCAGCGATCTACAGACTTCTTCAACTTCCGCGAGTGAGTACCTTGTTGAGAGTGGCACTGGCCTCGCCGCAGCACGTGTTTCCAGTTGTGTTCATCCCCGCGTTTTGCCTCACCTTTCCCTGTAACATTCACAACTTGAAGTTGACCATTGTAACGTAGATGTCATGGGTGTTATGAAGGGAATTATTGTGCTCGTTCTACTGACCGGGTCGTGCGAGTTTAGGCTCGTAGCCGGGGAGCCCGCTTTCTGCAGACAGCTGGAGTGCCCAAAATTCACCACCGATTATCGAACAAAGGTAGGCGTGAGCAATTAAAACCTGTTTTAAGTACACGTCTGAAAAAAATACTCTTAAATCCATTTATCAATGCAAAGCCCTTATCGCTCGTAATAATGCTTTGCTTGGAATGAATTACTTACACCGAAGTTAGCGCGGTAAATGGCCCGCGATACATTGTGGCATTCGTGCTAAGCTTCCATCAACTTGAAAATACACGATGAAGGTCTAATTAGGTTTACTGACTAATGGACCTTGGACGAGGGTGTCAGCAAAATCAACTGTACTGAACGTGAAATGACCCGTGGCCAACAGCTGCATCATGTTACATTCTGATTTAGGTCTAGTATCCCGCCTGATTCCTTCTTCTAATGCTTTTGTATTTACCCTAACGCCAAGCTGACATGTAATTTTGGGGGTTCGCAGGATTACGAGAAGAGGACTTACGCGTTGTCGATGTGGGTCAGCACCACCATTGCTGGTGTTGACTATATGGCGGCATCGGAGCAGGGCTTTGACAAGCTCTTCAAATACATAAGCGGTAACAACTCAGAAAGTACGTAAAAGACACATTCACTTTGCATTAGGAAGCGATTTGTGCAAAGATTCCTGAAATCAGACAGAGACTAAATTTCGTTGAAAGAAAAGTTCAATTTAAGTCCTAATGCAGAATTAGACATCAGTGTTCAGTTTAAAGTCTTCAAGAGGGTTGTGTTCTCCTAGCTTAAATCAAAATTTTAAAAAGGCGGGATTCTCCTTCAGACATTATAAATTCTAGAATCCCAACCCGACATTATTGTCAAACACTACACCCTAAAAAATTCCCGGGTCAGATTGTCCCAGAATTGGGTCCAATTCGGTATGACCCTTTTCCGGGTCAAATTATGACCCAGAAGGAGTCAAATAAAATTATGACCCAGAAAGGGTCAAATATGACCCAAAAGGGGGTCACATTTTCACCCAGAAAAGGGTCACACCGATTGGGACCCAATGCTGGGTCAATCTGACCCGGGACTTTTTTCATTACACTTCAAAAAAGGCGTGAACCTATGTGGTCGCCAGGAAGCTTTCTCCAACTTATACGCGAATTTTTCTTTGAAAACGATTCTGCTCGCATAAAAACGCAAGGATCACTGACTTTCATTAACTGGTTTGTAACAAAACTTTCCCACCTTGCTAGTTGCAGAGAAAGGTTTGTTACACTATGCCCGTTTGCGCGTTTTCTTGGCAGAAAGGAAGATTGCAATGACCGCACCGATGATCATCCGAGTTATGCCTGGCCAGGGGCCAGACCCCATCGAGAACTTCACCGTTTCATTCATGGTCCCCTTCGAGTTGCAACCGAACCCTCCCCTGCCCTCGGACAGTTCGGTTTTCGTGTCCACCATGCCACCACATCAAGCGTATGTCAGGTATAATAATGACGGTGGGATTTTCAAAAATGAATGTCCACGAGAGTCCAGGTTGTGGGTAATAAAATAATTTAAAAGAGGCTGTCATCAAACGAGAGACGTGAGATCCAGTCCCTGGCGTTCAGGGCTCTTATTGACTTGCTCAAAATCTGCAAAGGCATTGCATGTACCCGTGTGCTGCTTTACAACGTTTTCCTCGAGCGATAAGGGACTTGAAACAGTTCCTTGGTAATAAGTTCGGGCTGTCTGTAATCCACTCTTTTTTCTTTTCTCGCTCTTCTTTTCGATAACAAATCACCGAATTTTCTGTTTCACTCGAAACTGTAAGCCAATAGTGCCGTGGAAACAGCGACTTTTACCCCCATGTCCATTCCTTGTTATCCAATACACGAAGAAAAAATGAATCTGTTTGGACAGGTCTTACGGTGGCTTCTCAAATGAGAAGAAGTCCTTGGCGGAAGCCGAAGCTCTGGCGAAAGCTTTGAACGCCAGCCAACACTACGACGAGGGCTTCTACTACACAGCCGGCTACAGCAGTCCGTTCGTTGTGACCAACCGACACAATGAGATCTGGTTCTTCACATAGAAGCTAATTTCAGCATCGAGGTAATGTACGACGAAAATCCAAATTAGGTGTCTTCGCACAAGAGTGTTTTTTGACAATGTGACAGTAATTTCTCGTCTGAGAACAGACAAGCCGCAGAAAACGCTGATCGTGCCGTCAGTGGGTAAACTAAAAAGTCTACAATCCACTGTTAATCCTCCGTGTCTTGAGCCAAAACTAGCATCTGGGCAGAAAGGCCAGCGGATAACCTCGTTCCCGCAATGTCGAGTAGTCACACGGCTCTCGCCCTGGAATTAGATCATTTCCATATCCCAAAATTGTAGATGTGCATTTTCAGGAAAAGTAGGTTGGCGCCTGATCGTGCTTTTAATCAGCAAACAGTGTGTGGTATTAACCTTGAAAAGAGTCAATCTTCGCGGGGAGTACGGTTGTGGATCAGGGAGTGCGGTTTTCAAAGATAAGAAGTTTACGTCTCATTCAACCAACGCGGAGTATCACTTTTTTTTTCTAATTGAGATCAAAATGGAGAGGAGGGGATTGTTTGAACACAGGCGCGGACGTACTTCACATTTAAATAAAAAAACCTGGACCCGAAATCCCTTAATCTGCATGCGGAGGTATTTGAAGCCACCGGCGGCCATCTTACCATGCTGAATACAATGGTAATAGGAAGACCTGCTCACTTTTGTCAGGCCAAACGAGATTCGCTCATAAAATCAGCAATTCGGCACGGTAAAATGGCCGTCGGTTGCTTCATTTGGGACAAAAACAAGTCCAGACTTTTATATGACATCTGTGGATACAGGAAAGTTTCCTTTCCAGCGGTTACTATGCTGGAAATAAGTAACCACTAAGGACGAGGTTGCTCGACAGAGAATTGTATAACAATGACTTCAGTAGAAGCCCGAAATCCCGTCGGTTCGAGGTAATCAAGCAATAACAGCTTTATATTTATTTGGAATTGTTTTAAAGCGATCACTGTGGGTGCATTTTCACAGGTGTAACGAACCAAATACAATTAAGCTACGTCAAAGATTACGAGTCCCACATGCCTCGAGACCTTAAGAAAGGTATGAGGAATTTGAGAGCTGTTGCAATATGCGTTCATTCTTTTCAGTTGGTTGTGTATATGCTACATTTTCATGGAATATTTGCCCTAGAAAGTCCATAACGAACTTAATAAAACACAGATCCCCGAATCTCAAACCCTTATGAAGTAATGGTAAGAAGGCTATGCTAAGCTAAGACAAATTCAGTGCGTCACTCTGACCCATCAGCAACAGAAAAAAAACTTGACGTTGGCAAGCATGCTTGAAAGTGTTAGGAGGAAATTACTCAGTAACTATGACAATTATGTTACAACTAGCTCTAAAAATCAAAACTACATAACTGTGGGGTAAGATACGGTGTTTTCCTCATGGGAAAAGGTTACATTCACCATATGATTTAATTAACTTGCCAATAAATTAATAACAAATTATTTGTATACTTTGCATGTTAAAGTTTGTTTTATTTTTCGCTCCTTTAAACACAAGAGATACCAAACATTACAGGATTTTCAAAATCATGGCGGGCAATGAATTAAATTGAAGTTGAAAGCAAAGCAGAGGTATTCGTATCAGCTGCGTTTCCACGTTTCAGGAAATGTCTTTATTTCAAGAAAATGTTCACGTCCTGATAAAATCCCTAAGGAAATGAAATATTTCAGGGAATCTGGAAAAAAAAATTAGATTCTAAATTTCAAGAATAATGAAAACAAAATTTATGTAAATCTGAATATAGTACCACCGCAGTTGTGGCTTCTAATTTACAAACCATGTTTTACAAAAGTCTCAGCTGCATTAATTAAACTATGAAAACAAGTGCAGAGGAAAATGATATGATGTAGCCCAGCTAAGTTCCTTGAATTTAGAACAGAGACAACAGACGGGGAAGAAAATCAACTGCACGGTTAACATTGCGAATTCAAATGCTAATTATTTCAGAAAAAAACGAGGAAGAACGGCAACTTCAGGAATTCCAATTTTAAGAAGTGGAAGCACTACCTAAGAATGTGGACAAATGGCGCCTTTGTATTCTGACGAGGGGGGGGGCAAATGAAGCCTTCAGCGTCCAAGAGTTGATGCGCGTGCATGCCTTAAGCCTCTACGCACGGACGTGTATAATAAAATCTGGACTCGCAATGCCCTTAATCAGCTTATAGAGTCATTGAATCAACCCGCAGCCATTTTTCCGAGCCGAATACAAAGCTTTTCCGGCAATGCCCACCGTTGTTCTTCCTGGCGTCAATAGAAGGGAACCGCCCACGCTTTTGTATTCGGCTCGGTAAAATGGCCGCTGGTTGGCTTCTTTTTCATACAAAGGCGTTGCAAGTCCAGTTTTTTTTTATGTACGTCCGTGCCTTTACGCCGCAGCAAGACCCTTCTTAATGTTGTCCATCTCGCGGGAAATCTGGCACAGAACGCAAGAGGGGCACCAGCACGTCGTGCAAGCATCACCGGACAGGGAGCCCTGGAAGGGAAAGGAGCACGTGTTGATGAAAAAGTGAAGGCTATAGGGTACTAGACCAATATTTTTAAGCTTTAACGAGCCAGTTCGATAATTCCAAAAAGAAAGGTCTTTCGGGAACAAAGCCTGCTCTCGAGTCCGATGAGGGCCGCAATGGTAGGGCAGACCTCGAATACGCATCTTACGGTGCCACCAACGATTCTACGCAGTGAGTTGGTTATACAGGGCTAGAGGNTAGCTTTCCCCTTAATTTGAAAATCCCGATTTAAAGAGATTTGAAATGTTCCTGACATTTGCGTTTGTGCTTCAGAGTAAAGTGGCTTCTTGTGGTTTTTTGTGGGATCTCAAGTTTTTGTGGGCCCTAACACAGTTTGTAGGCCCCAGGCACAGGGTACAATGTTCCTATTCGATATCCAACCTTTCAACTGTCGAATTCTTGATTGCTTCTGAATCAAGGATTTTGAGTGATACACTGGTACCCCCTTCTGTATTGTGAAAGCAACCCAACCCCATCTCTGACCTCAGAACACCTTTTTCATCTCACATCTCAGGCTTTCTTCGGGTATCTTAAAGAACCCAAGCTAATCGAGATTCTTCGTGCGATTTTAATTTTTTTTTCTTTAAAAATGATAAGCCTTGTCTCCGCTTTTATTTAAGGACACTCAAAGCAAGTTTGCGCTGTGTGTTGAATTGTAAAAGAATATGATTAAAACTCCTCGCTAATTAGCACATAATGAGGCAGTTCAGTATTTCATAAAGCTAAGTTCTTTCGGGAACAAAGCCCGCGCGTAAGTTTGCGTATGGCCGCGCTGATGGGACAGATTCCCGAAAAGCCTTGTATTGGTCATGCGCTGTTGGAATACCGAAATAGCTCATTTATGAAAATATGCAGTGTTGGTATTCAGAAAAGGTGTCCACTGCGCAGTACTATCGAGTGATCAACTGGATCGCGTTCCACCTGGTGTTTTCACCTGGATGTTATGGCGTCCACGGAGGTAGGATCTCATGACCAGAGTGGCGTTGCAGAGGCAACAGGGCGTGCAGCAATTCTCGCCCATCTTAGATGCTATGTAACACTCGTAGCACGGGAAACAAAACCAGCCGCAGATGCCTGCAGATGAAACAGGAATGTAAGTGGATTTTAGATGAGTAACAATTTTCTGTGAAATTCCAGAATGTCAAAAATGGGTTGCTTTGCCACCGACACTCAGATACAATTATGTTGGATAGAGTGTTGAAGTCGAGACCCATTTAAGACCATGACAAGACCACCGCAAGACCTCCGTCCTGACCCAAATCGCAAGCTGTTTTTTTATGAACTGCAGCTGAAGTATTCCTTTTATCTCTGTGAGCCCTTTTACTCGTAATTTGTTTTTACGGGTGGTCTTATGAATGGTCGTGTATCTAGGCTTATTATGGTCTCGACTACATTAGTTTCAGGAGGATTTGGAGAGATTTGATGACTTCAGTTGTTGACTTCTTTAATAAATGAGGAACACCCTCCACGTTGCTCTTACGCTGAGCCTCGGTATGACTAACAAGGATAACAACTCAGAAATGATTCATTAATCGAATTTCAGATGGATTTAAAATTTCATCATTCATCTGATAAACGAAGAAACCCGTAACATAACAATCTAGTGTTTTCACAACAAAGTCACAATGAATGACATACATCCACCGCAGTCCTCACAGCATCCGCAAACGGAAGTGGACCATTCACGTGGTGCGCCCCTTGGAAACCGATAACTCCCCTGTGCAACCTGACAGCGAAAGCAAACAGGAGAGGGGTTTATATATTTTACTATACTGAGGTAAATAGACGCTTTTTCTGGAACAATGTAGAAAATACAGGAGAATGCAGTGATATGTCGCCAAGATGATTATCCTGTCTGCCAAACTCAAAATGAAATTTAACCTTTATAACCGTGATCCAAGAAAATGGTGGGGCGCCACGGGCATTGTTACGAATGCCATGTTCCCCGGAAGCGTACAGTCGCGTATTCAGTCGCTTGTGAGGTTGTAGGCCTTGTCATAACAAATTGAAGAAGAGCAAAGACAAAAGAAATGGCTTGCTGACAGGATTTAAGCAGACAGAGGACAGATGTTAGAGGACAGATTAAATGCGTCGATCTTATGAAATGGGTGTTAGTTTGGATTACAGGAGCATAATAATTGACCCCATTACGTAGTTAGTTTTTGGTTTGCCTTACAACCAGACAACTTCTTTCTTAAAACACCTATTTCCTCAGGAAGCTAGGATTTATTAAAAAATTACCCCTCTTCCAAAAAAAAAAGGTCTTTTTTATCAGGATTCTTTTATGTGCTGATTTTCCCCCGAAACCCTTGGCCACCCGCTAGACAGAATCTCCGTGAATTCTCCGACATCTCCCTCAAACACTGACCAAATCACAGAAAACTGAAAGGACCAAATAAAGTAGGCGGTAATAAATTATAATTGACTGTACTACTTAGCGACTACGGCAGCAATCTGTAAAGTTTTGGGGGAAAGAGACGGGAAAAATGAGCAAGGTCGTGGTAGCTTGCGAGGAGTAGTGATATTAGGGGTGGGGATTTTTTTCTCTCCTTTTTTTCACCGCAGCTTGTGTCTCTCTGGGGAAAAAAATCAGTTTTTTAAGTTTATTGAATTTTTCTGCCCAAGTTTGTAGCCTTGAAAATTTGGTTTATTCAAAGGAAAAACGCTCCCTGAATGCGTCATCAACCTTGAGTCTAACTTATCAATGAGGCTCATACATTGCATAATACGATAATATTGCTGCTTCTATGTTTCAAATGGTTGCATTTTTGCCGTGTATAAGCCTAGGCTATTTACAATGACAAAAGGTTGGGTTGGATGTGATATGGGCATATAAAGCAAAAACCGTTTGCTTGTTCGCACACTTACGACCGTGACAGTTGTTGGTTGAGTGGTTATCACTGAATATGGGGAATGGATTGGTTGCATGGGCATTTCCATGGGTGAGTTGATGCCTTCAAGTTGCATCCCTGCTGTGGCAGGTTGAATCATTACCGTGGACTCCATTGTGTCCTGTCCCGTAGAAGTAAAATCTTTGTATCTGAGGGGAAGAACAAACTACACGCTGCGTCTGAGGCGGACGGTGAAAGTTTTGCTTGGAACCTTACAGATTCCAGGAATAACCCCTTCTCGAGTTATACATATTCTGAGAAATGGGCCCAGTGATGAATTTTGTAACAGAAATTCAGTGGATTTGGTAGAAATTGGGAACAGTTCAAGAGATCGGTATTTTCATACATCATACAAAACGCTTCGACATCCAGCGAGAATCCTTCAAACAGAATTGTTGATTACTTATAGTGGTACAGTGCACATAAAATGTTACCCCGGTACAAACACACTCATTGTTCTAAAAAGCAACTCATTTTTGGGATGACGTTTGTTACACATTTAATTAAACAAAAAGCGGTGTATCACATTCGTAAAGGAATTCAGCGCCAGTGCAGGAAAAAAGTCTTTAGTGCCTATTTCGAGCTTCTGTATTTTACGCAGAATCCATGAATACAATGCAAACAGATGTTTGGTTTTAGCTAACGTTCCTCGTATTAAATGGAAACCGTCCAGTACAGTTGAGTTCCGTCTATTGTGACATATCGATTTGTATGGATTAATGACGTTTAAAAATTGCACGTGATCATGGAATGTTTGCTTTAACCTCGGCCCTGGCACTGACGATCAGATCTGTTTTTTTTTATTATGTTTGTTTGCAAAGGACTTTGCAACGTTGCGCTTTTACAAAACTACGATTGTTTTAGTCTCCAAAATGCAGCTCCACACTCTAAGTGCCCCTTATTTATCGCCTGTAAGTAATGGAAATTGACTGATCAATTTTACAGGATAAAGCGGGTGCTTACCAATTAGCAAAGCGGTTTGCTTCAGAAACCACAGAAGTCTAATGCTGATCAAAAAAGTCGATTTCAGAATGCTGTGACAACTATGTTTATATTACCGACTTCAAGGAATATTTCAGTTGAAAGAAACAACAACAACGATGTATAGGCGCCGCTCGTCTGACGTCATAGTCATGTTTTTCTTACAAGTGGCTGCTAAAACTATAGTTGGCCGTCGGGTAAAGAAAAGTAAAAAAGTAATTCACAAAGTGTTAAAAATCCCACGAAGCTATCACAATACGAGATAATAGTACACGTACTACTAGGTATTAAATGAAAATATAACCCTATTTAAAGTTAATGGGACAAATTTTCATTTTGAACGAATTTGAGGTAAACAATGTATCGAAAACCACACAAAAAAGTGATATTTCTGCAACATTGTCCGGTCATACAAGTTGTAGGCAAAATGAGAGCAGAAATAATATAATCGATATCCTTTACAATTTATAAATGAACGAGAAATAAGAAATAACTGAAAACATTTCCGGGCAGAAATGGGCAAATTTTGCAATGCCACGCCAAGTATCTGGTAAAGCGAAAACGTCCACAAAGTTATTCCTGAATCTGCAATCTTTCCTGCGTTTGTCAAGTTGCTCACCAAGGCTTATTCAGCGCATAATGCCTACAAACGTCCTTATCGGCCTACTTACCTATCAAAGGGAGTGTCGTGGGAAATCTTCGCGGTTGTTGGAATCGCCGGAGGCCTACCAATGTACGTGACGTCCAAACTAACGTAGTCAACCAACAGATGAATGTGGATTTCTGCTGCTGTCGACATTTATGCGGAAACAGATGGGACGATTGCTGGACAGAAGCGAAAGTGGGGATTCCCAATTGCGATGCCCGCATTTCATGCTATGCAGTTCTTTGACAAGCATTGGAAAGTGTATACGGATCTATCCCTAGGGCCTATCCGTCTGGTCCACGTCCCCCCCCCCCGCTTCCTCACGGTATCTAAAATCAGAAAGTTTAACCTAAAAGGGCCGGGTTTTCGTAACTTCTCATAGCTGGGGGAAGAGGATCTCTTGTTTAGCTTTTGAAATCTGGCCTGTTTAATGGTAGCCATTGTGAACACATCTGTTTCGTTTCAGAATCTATAACAAAGGCTTTTGTTGTCATTTGTAGTTCACGCCTGTACATTTCATGCAAACTGGGGGACAGAGAGAACCCCTGCCTTTGCATTGGTCATTGTTATACTGGTATCTCAGGAAATCTTTTCAGACATCTGGGGGGGGGTGTTAAGTAACAATAGGCTGGAATGTGTATAGGGACTGGATTGTTGGGGTACCTCTCTGTCTCATTTCGTGCCTGGTGTACGCCTGTTGTGCCGTGTTGGCCTGTGCATCGAGCATACTAATGGAAATATAAAATTGTTTTCCTAAAAAGATATTCAATGGATATAAAGCGAATGCAGTGGCGCTATCGAAGACGAAGAATACATGCTTACGACTATGCAGATACATGTAATGCTAAGTAAAACTGATTACATCCTACAATACCCCGTCCCTCCGATATTGTTTATCCCTGGTTGGAGGAAGATGATAAAACTACTCTAGACTTGGCAGCAATGGTTATCCATTGTGCGTGTGTATTGGCTGTTGCTTATATCGCAGTCAAATCCATATACCTTTTACATGTACATTTATAAAATACATTTTGTATTCACAGAATAGGAAGGATGGGGATGAGGTTGGTTGGGTCGGGTCCGGTCGTGCACCGAAAACTTGCCTGGGTTAAATTTTAACCCATGCAAGGGAGGGTGAAAACTGCGACTACACAATAGTTCAGGTTGTTTCAACCCAATTTGGTTGATTGAAAGTCATTTCAGGTGTGTTTTAATCAAATAAGGGTTAATATCTACTCATTTGTGGGGGGAAAAATGAAACAGAAAGTAATTCTCACCCCAAGACTGGGGTAACACAGCTCATATTTGGGTAGCTGCAGTTTTCACCCTTCCTCGGGTTAAAATTTAACCCAGGTATTTTTTCAGTGTGTTGGGTTGGGTCGGTTGGGTTGAATGGGTCTGGTAGAATGGGTGCATTGGGATTGGGTGGGGTGGTAGGCGAAGCCAAGCCTCTACGTGGGCCTTCCCTAGCTCCCATGTCTCCCCTCCAGAGCCGGCATTTCGCCAGCCAGCCAGAATAGGCCAGCCAATCCAGTCAGTCGGCTAGTTCGTAGGTCGGTCGCTTGATTGACTTCAACTTGAATTTCAGCGTACGTGGATAAAAACTAATTAAAAAGTCCATTGATTTTTTTTTAAAGGTTATTTGAAATTTGATAACAATTACGTGGAATGTTTGTGACCCAGTTTGTCAAGAGGTACTACTTATAGGTTAACAAATTAAGACCAAGTGTCGCGTGACATCCAAAAATCAAACTCCTGAACGCGAAATCAAACAAATAATTTTGCAAGGACGACCAAGATAATAACTCTGACGTTGTTTACATCAAAGTCACAGGACTGGTTTCGAAGGGCTATCTGAACCTGCTACCGTTGCCAGACTAGAAATAGACCTCGTACAAAGTCAGCAATGGTTACGCGCATGCCACGATAGTCTACACGTATTTTGACCTTTGTGACGTTGGTTGCCTCGTTCCCAACTTGCAGATGATCGAATAAGTCGAAACGTAGCCAGTAATGTTCCATAATACCACAGCTGCGCCGATGGATGTCGACTGTTGCGTACAGAGCACGACTATCTAACGACTTGTCATCAAGTCTACTCGAGAGCTAGAGCGAGAGATAGGATATGCGGCGCATTAATGGTTTCAGTAATCACTGTTCAAGTTTGCTTCACAGATAGGCGTCCCAAAATAGATGTGCGCAACTTTATCCTCTGAACTTTGGCTGCTATATAGGTATGGACTATCTCCTGCAGGCTTTGTCTCGTGACCAGCCCAACCTGAGATTGAAAGTGTTTACTGGGATGGCAATTTAAACGGCTGCCTTATACTGATTTCCAGTCCTCGTGGTGAGAAACCCTGAGGCCCCGTCGAAAATGTCCGCGTCTGCACTGTTCAAGCTTATGCTGCTTTCAGCAGTTCTGAGCCTGTACTTCGCCAGTGCACAGAAGGTCAACGTTCTTCCCTGTAGTGAGTACATTCATGTACATGTATGTTAGTGCACATGAACATGTGTACCATTTTAGAGTGCAATACCGTATTTTTTGTTCTAGAACCCGGAAACTCCGTCGGTTATGTCTGGAGTCCAAGTCTCAGTGCATGCTACTTTATTTGCTTGACCTGTTACATAGTCTGTATCCTCACTGAATTGCATCTGGCTCACTGCTCCTCTACAAGCCAGCCTGGCCGTGACACCACAGGTGCAGTGGTGGGGATGGGTGACGGTAGGCCTACATCCCTCAATCTTCACCTCGTGTGCTTGTAAAGACCTACATTGTTGCCTGGTGTCAGAGGACTCCTGATGCCCGACCCGTATTTATTCACGTGATGATGCCTAGTGCAGGAAATACGTCATTTCCGTTTTTCAAATAACGGGACAATGTTCAAATTCTTGGCAATTGACTTCGCAGATTTTATCATCATCCCGCGATTATTTGTGGTCTCAAATCCATGTCGTGCAATTTGTATCCACGAACATTAAAATAAACTAGAAACACAGACAGTGTTCCGTCGAATAATTGCTTCTCTGAGCACAGACGGTAAATTATCATTACTCTCTCGTCTAGACACCCGCCGCATTCGAAGGACAAGCTGATATTACTGAGGCAGTTTTTGCTTGTACAAAATCTACGAACCCCTATTTCTGGCAAAGTCTAAATCACTGGGTGCAATGGAAATATAAGTTCAGACGGAACCAAGGGTATCAATTGCTCAAAATTGGTTAGGGTTGGACAGGTATTTGTTAGTATCGCCCGGGACGGAATACTTTTTAAAAAAATCCTGGACTAAAATTGTTTTATCTGTCTAAATATGACTTTTTAATTACAGACACTGTGCTCCTTATAAATACTTTGGTTTTGATATTGTTATTACATTAGTTGAAGAAACTGTGACGCAAGGAAAACACCTTGTGCACAAATAATTTTCAGAGTTCCAGCCCATAGTCCAGTGTGCTACTATACGCCCGTTTTACAATAGTGCGCCACCAAGAGTTTACAACGCGTTGGCCAATCACATTGCGCGAAATTTGTCGGCCGAATGCGCGTTTGGAAAGGGTCGACAAATTTTGCGCGTTATGATTGACCAACGTGCTGCAAACTCTTGGTGGTGCACTATTGTGAAACAGCTGTATTGTCTGTTTTGTGTTCAGTCGACAAAACTGTTTATCAATCATAGGATCCTGTAACAAATCTGTCGTTTCTCCTTCGTTGGAACACGTCCTGCAGTTGACTAGATCAAGACCCTTCCGGTCCGAGCGGAACAAAAGAGGGCGTGTTATTTGGTACTGTTGGTTCACGCGCTGGGTCTTTTACACATGCACTAATTGTGCGCGTGACGTATTTACTTCGGTACTCTATGTCCTATACAGTCTATATAATGGAGATCAATGGGTTACATGCATTGATCGCCATTAATGTGGGAACCATGGAACCGGAAGTTAACGCAAAACTTCTGCGATCGTCCAATGGAAGCCTGCGAATCGCAGCGCGTCCACCTTTGTGACAAAGTCACTTACGAACCGGATTGCGGCATGTATGGTCTTTGGTTGAGTTCGGGCGGTTTGTTCGTGACACAGGTTTCTTGTTCTCACCCTCGAACGGCGGGAACACGACTCAAGAACACTGTTCCCGGAATAGGATCACACACTACCTCCTCGTCAGGGTTTTACAGGAACACACGGAAAAACTCGTAAGATTTTGATTTTTGAACAGCTGCAAAAGTGGAGAGGTGGCTTCCAAAGCCATAGACGATGTAGACAGAGGGAAGTTTTGCAACATTAACATTAATTATTTTCCCAAACACAGAAATGAATGTTCCTGTTTATATAGAAAAGAATTCAACCCATTCAAAACTTAACTCTCGAGTAACGTACATGGACGCCGCCATGTTGCATGTTGTTTGTTTCTTCCCGGCGTTCGAGCGGCCGATCCACGAACAACAAATCAAACCGTTCGTGAACATACGGGAACAAGCCGCCCGAACTCGGCCTTTGCGTACTCGCAGGACACAAGAACCCCCTTGTAACCACTTGTCTTTCTTTCGCCCATTGGGGGTGCACTTCAGCCCGGGGCGGATAGAGGACTCAGTGACTCATTCAGTCGAGACTAAAAATGTTCTCACAGACTCAATAATATTTTAAAAGGGCTAATTACGAATCATGCAGTGGCATATTCATACGCCACTGGCATTATGGCATTATGTCATGGATTTTTAAAATTAATGTTCTATTGCAGAGAACGTGAAGCAGGATTCCACTATCAATGAAGTGATCATCACCCCCTGTCCGAAGTTACCCTGCATATTCAAAAAAGGCACTAATGTTTCCGTAGCAATTACCTTCACGATGGACGGTGAGTTTACACGCCAACACAGCTGGCTATAGCCGTTCCGAATCATTTGGCTGCAGCTTAAAGAAACCAGGAAATGAATTTTTCTTAGAATCACTTTTTGTGTATCTCTGTACTCTTCTGCCATGTATGAAGACTGTTTGACGTCTTTTTTGGGTTACGTAAACTGAACGGTGCACTTTTGAAACATTGAAAATTGACCAAAGATTTCTGGACAAGTGAGGGCGCTTTTGCTTTGATGTAAATCCAGGAAGACATGGTTCAGGTTGCATGTTTTCATGTTCAAATTGTGAATCCCGAGTTTTCTATCTGGGAACAATTCTGTGAAAAGGATTTTTGCTGGATTATTGCCATATACTTACACAGCAATAAATTGTCAAAGGAAATAAAATCTGCCATAGCTGTGCTTGAAAAAAATCTAGAAATTTTCTGTGCAGAAATCAGGGCAACATTGAGATTCGGTACCTTGGATGACATCGTAGTTTTGCTCGTGAATATGCAAACAGGCATTAGCATAAAAGCAAAAAAAAACCCATCAAAATATGTGTTAAAATTGCCGAACAAAAATTTAAAATAAGGTTAATTGAACCCCAAAGATGCAATTTCAAGGGTTCTTAGTAAAATTTATAAAAGTTTTTCTATTTCTTGTTTCCTTTAATATATATGGACAGCGATAACAAGCTGCGGGCTGCAGCCTATATGTATCGCTGCCGGTAGGCAGTGTTTGGTTTCTTGACTTTCTTCTTAAATTTGCCATGCCATGGTGAGAAGTGCCTTAGTTGTTTTTCATCTACTTTTGGCTTTCACGTGATCGTGGGCAGGATGGGAATTCAATTTTACAGGAATACATTTTGAAGGGGATTTAAATTTTGGAAATTCGGAGTTTGATTTTGAATTTTGCTGGTGATATCTAAATCTTTTTGAAGCACATTTCCATTCGGAATGCATTAACACCTATTTCCCATATTCGTGGCCTTTTCTCTGAGGGAGGCGGTGCATTTCCATGGGGCCAGCACTAATAAGCAGAAAACTAGTAAACTATTAACGGTGGAAGGGGTCAATAATTCTGAAGTGTTAATGTTCATCGCCTTCCCCCATTTTCTAAATTCAAAGGAGTGAAAACTCACCCCCTCCGATGGAAACAAAGGGCTAGACGAATTCGAGTGAAATTTGTTCACTCCAGTAGATCGAGTTTCCACTGGAATGGGTTCATTTTCAATCTATTTCAATCTAAATTAGGAGTGATTTCACTCTGCGCGTTTGTCTTTTCTCTCGTCTCGTTTCTTCCCTTTTCCTCTCCTGCTTAATTCCTCGTGTAATAACATGTAATGTGTTTGATCGTGACCTCAGCCTCAGCCGCCGTTGCCTCCAATGTCACTACTGTGGTGCACGGCATCATCGGTGGAGTGGCGGTGCCTTACCCCACAGCCTACACTGATGCATGCAAAACATCGGGAATCCACTGCCCGCTGAAACCGAACGACAAAAGTGTCTACAAAGCAAAGCTCTACGTGAAGCCAGAATACCCAACGGTGAGCCATTTGGGTTTTCTGTTGCTCTGCTTTCCTGTTGGTTTATGTTTGATTCATTGTTTAAGTTTAAGTTTGCTTTTTTTTGTTTCCGATCAAGCAAAATCAAACAAAATTAAAACTCTTAACCAAAACAAAGAAGCAAATTTGAAAAGCAGACAAGGAATTAGTTCATAATCCCAGTCACATATGTACAGTCTTCGTAGCTCAAAGGACAGGTTGATAGTTAGTCTTCCCTATCGTAGAACTAAGGCAACTTTTGGAGACCGTGCATATATCTGTGCTGCTCCTAGGCTTTGGAACAACCTGCCCTTTCATGTAAGAAATGCTAAATCTGTCGACACATTTAAGATTGTTCCAAAAACTCATCTCTTTCGTGAAGCTTTTTCCAACACCTGATTTTCATCTCTGCTAATGATGGGTAATGTTATGCGCAGTTGAGTATATTTTTATAGTATCTGCGCAATATAAATGTTCCTTATTATTATTATTATTAATAATATTAAAACAAAATGAAATCGAAATGAAACTGAAACAAAAATTGCACAGCACGCATGGATGAGTGCGCACGCTTACAATACAAGTTGTAGTTATCGCATTTACATAGAAATACTATCAATCAAAAGGAGTCCGACTTCACAGCAACGACAGTGCCAGGCCCGTAGGCTGGGAGGTTGAGGGGTTCAAACGAGCACCCCCCCCACTGGCTGCTGAGCTCCACTTGTTGGGTGGTTTTTTTTTTGTGTCCTGAATGTTTTAAATATACCGTAATATTCGGCATACAAGCTACGGCTTATACGCTGATTGTCAAGCTCAAGGTGACCACGATTCTGCATATTAATGAATCAATCTCCAGTCATTATGTACCGCCAGGAAGTTCCGGCAAATATCCACATTTCAGGTGTTTTCAAGGGTTTGAAATCATTGTGTTTTTGTTAAATTTATTCAATATTTAAAACTACAGTGTACAAGTCTTACATGCAACCTTTGGTTCGCGACAGAATGCAACCTTTCAGTGTTGTTTTCCAAAGCACATTGTGATAGGCCTTTGTATAAAAATATGTGTTCACAGCCCCAAAAGTTCCACTTTTTGGTTACACGAACCCCCCCCCAGTCTCTGGTCAGGCAACGGGCCTTAGTGCATTCCACTTTTGCTCACTTCCTGTCTAGGTCGAGTTGTACGTGAAATGGGAACTTCAGTATCAACCCGAGAAGGATATCCTCTGCTTCGAGGTGCCGGCTGAGGTTATGTAGTGTGCAAATGCTCAAAATGCGACATCAATGCCGATTTATTCCTTCCTTTGTGCCACAAAATGCAGGTATAAAATGTCAACCATGTGCTGATATTCATGCTAAATTGCCACGGTTTTCACATCAAAACAAGACGCGACATTTGCAAAGAATTTAACAAGTTTGGCAACTTCACGATTACTTTTGTTTAAACTTAATACGAACCTCTTGCTACCAGGTGTTAGTTTGTGTATACTGAACTCTTGTCGTCACGTGATCACGGTTCGTTTTTGTCAGAAGAGATGAGTTTTTTCATGCTTTTAATTATAGGAATGCAGTTTCTTTAGATAACTGAGTTGTTATTTTTAACCGAGTTACGAGCAGAAAAGCATTTATTATTGTACAACGCCAAAGATGTTTATGCGCTTTTGCCGCTTCAGTATTGTAATCATTTTTACTATCCACTATTGTGTTGAACACATTTTTCAGAAACAGCATAATTTGGGTTAATTATTGTTCCGTTTTATATATTTCACTTTCGATGGAAATGGATGGATGTATGCGTTCGGTCCCGGCATTCGTTAAATTGAAACGATAAAAATATTCACCCGAAAATCATGAAATATGGTATGAAAGGACTAACATGCCCGGAATGTACAACGGTTATGGGGAGTCGTTTGCGTGTTTGTGTTTGCGTCTGTTTTTTTTTTAACTTTGTAATGCAAACGAATTAAGATATAAAATGGAGTATTTGGGTTTTAGAGATTGTATGAGCTGCAATAAATATGAGCTACAGTCTATTGTTCATTCTCCCGCTGTATCCACTATTTGGCTGTTGATACTGTAGAGCTGCAGGCTGTGGTCAATCATTCTCAAGTTGAATCCACTATTGGCCTGTTTAGACTACAGAGCTGCAGTCTGTAGTCAATGACTCCTCAGTTGTACCCACTATCGGCCTGTTGAGACTGCAGAGCTGCAGTTTATAGTCAATCATTCTCAAGTTGAATTCACTATTAGCATGTTGAGACTACAGAACTGCAGTCTGTAGTCAATGACTCTCCGGTTATGTCCACTGTTAGCCTGTTGGGACTGCAGAGCTGCAGTCTGTAGCCATTCCTATTCAGCCATATCCACTATTGGCCTTTTGCGGCTGCAAAACTGCAGTCTATCGTCAATTACTCTTTGGTTCTTATCCACAACTGGCCTGTTGGGACTGCAGAATTGCAGTCTGTAGCCATTCACTCTTCAGCCGTATCCACTGTTGGCCTTTTGCGGCTGCAGAACTGCAGTCTATCGTCAATTACTCTTTGGCTCTTATCCACTAAAGGCCTGTTGGGACTGCAGAATTGCAGTCTGTAGCCATTCCTATTCAGCCATATCCACTATTGGCCTTTTGCGGCTGCAGAACTGCAATCTATCGTCAATTACTCTTTGGTTCTTATCCACTACTGGCCTGTTGGGACTGCAGAATTGCAGTCTGTAGCCATTCACTCTTCAGCCGTATCCACTGTTGGCCTTTTGAGGCTGCAGAACTGCAGTCTATCGTCAATTTCTCTTTGGTTCTTATCCACTACTGGCCTGTTGGGACTGCAGAATTGCAGTCTGTAGCCATTCACTCTTCAGCCGTATCCACTGTTGGCCTTTTGAGGCTGCAGAACTGCAGTCTATCGTCAATTACTCTTTGATTCTTGTCCACTACTGGCCTGTTGGGACTGCAGAGCTGCAGTCTGTAGTCAATCACTCTTCAGTCGTATCCATCGTCAGCCTGTTGGAACCGGAAGTTAACCGGAAGTTAACGCGCATCTAGACTTTAATGCTCACCCAATGAAAGCTTCCAATCAGTAGTGCGTGCGCATGTATGACGAAGTCACTTTATACGAACTGGGTCGACGGTTCACGTGACAACGTTGTGCTTGTTAACACAAGCGGATTGTCTGCAGCTGTAGACGAAGATAAACCGTGCATGCACTGCACACTCAGTTAACATTGTCGCCACTTCTAAATGTGATAAGGTTACGAGGCACACATCATGATAGAATTTATCATGTATTTTGACAGATGCAGTATTATCAAAAACAAAGTAACACCCTTGTATCTCTGTTGACACGCGTCCATAGCCCTACTTCATGGAGCAGATAAACCAGAATGTACCTTGAACTTACCGTCGTTATTGGATGGGGGGGATGATACAAGACCACGCGTGCTCGTTTGAAAAGCTCATTATCAGTTATATGGCCAGCGTCACATTGTTGACCGTTAGCACTTAGCAAGGTGTATACATGTATACACTCAGACTCGTCCTAAAACCTCATTCGTCACGGTGTGTCGGCTCGAAGTGGTGTATATGTACTGGCCCAATTCATTTCAAATTTTCTGGCACGAGTAAATCTGAAAGTTTACGGAAAATGCTGTCGTCTGCTGTGTACAAATTTGCTCTGATCTCCGCTCTTCTAAGCATTCATGTCGCCCGCCCTCAAAAGGTCAATGTTCTTCCCTGCGTAAGTAAGTAGATATTGTGCAGGTTGTAATTACACTAGGCCAACCTACTTTTTCAAACGAATGACGTTTGGTCCTACCTTTATCACCTACCTTTGTACAGATTTCGAAGGGGAAACTCAAACCTATTCTTTTCATTTGAATAAATTCCACTCTTAATTATTTTCCCTATAGTGTATACATTAGTCGGATGGGGTCAAAATGTGTGATGTGTATACTTAAGTAATGAGGCCTAACGTGTAAGTGACAAGGCGTTTTCTCTTAGTTCGTCTGTGGCGCATATCACTAGGAAAATGCAAGTCTTGGATTGAAATGTGTGAATAAAATACCTCTACGGTATTTCACTTATTCTTTTACAGATCCTGAAGTCACACCCGATTGTGTGCTCAACGAAGTTGTTATCAACCCTTGTCCGAAGTTCCCTTGCCAGTTCAAGTTAGGAATTAACGTCTCGGCAGAAATAACCTTCACCATGAATGGTAAGTCCACACACAGTTAGCTCTGACAGTCCGACTAGATCCAGAGAACTTAAATAAAGCAAAATCCGAAATGCACGAATAACATCAGAGATGTTATAGCAAAAGCTGAGGTGGGTGAGTTGAAGCGTCTATAAAAGTTAGAGAAGAAACAAGGAATTTTACGTTTCGCCTTTCAATCGTTAAGACAAGTGTTTTTTTATAATTAATGTTCAGAAATTCTAATAAAAAAAATTTAACGTTGTTCAACTGGTGGATGAAGTAAATAAATGTCAAAAGTTTCAAATACTGAGCTCTTGTATTGTGCTGTAACAATTTTAAATACTTCCAAGTGAAAGGTTTGCAGTTTTGTTATTTTCATAATTGGCACAGTTAGCAATGCCTGACATGTGTAACATGTGTAAAGCATCGATATGAAGAACTTGACTAGTGGCCTTGATATTGTTTTCTTCAACCCATAAATATCACCAAATATTCTTTTCCTTACTTTAAGTACCGCTTAAAGATTAAAGTGTCGTTAAGTGGACTGAGCTTTGACCTTTATATCCACCGCTGCAAACAGACATGTTCACCACACAGGAAACGTTCCATATTTTATATGGCGTGATTTACGTTATTTAAGGCATGATCATGGGAAAAAAATTATAGTCTTGGCAAATTTATAGTCTCAGAGTTTTTCAACGGAGTAAGGTCAATAGTATGGGTGCGGTTCCCTAAGATTTTGTACAAATATGTCCGTTGCTGAGTGATAGCTTTGATGTGCCCTGTGTTGTGTATTCCGTTTCAATTTTGTTTCAATGTAAGTTTTTACCTTCCCCGTCATGTTGAAAGCGCCGAGCACGAAACCTTAGACGAGAACGTTTGCTCAGTTTTGCTTCGCGTTTCAAAGAAGCTTTTTTTTTTTAATTTGTTGCATTTTACTCCTTTTGTGACACTAGCTACAGCTACTACAGCAAGTAAAGCTACCACGGTGATACACGGCATCATCGGCGGGGTTCCCGTGCCTTTCAAAACTCCATACACTGACGCATGCGCAACAACGGGAATCCGCTGTCCGCTGAAAGCAAAGGACGAAAACGTCTACAAAGCGCAGCTTTATGTTGAGCCGAGCTACCCCGCTCCAGTAAGTTGAAAGTGTATTCAGTTGTTTTGACCTAATTCCGTACTCTGCGTCTCTCACAGTCCTTAACGGTCCATCATCTTCGGATGTGTGAGGGCTTTTTCTTGACTACGGGTGTCGGTCACATTATGACTATACCACACTGAAAACCTTGGCCAACGACAGAAATTTCTAAGACAGCCTGACTGTGGCATAGTGGGGGACCATGGGAAATGAGTGGCGTTTCACAGTAGTGCTCCTCCAAGAGTTTACAACGCGTTGACCAATCACAGAGCGTGAAATCTGCCGACCCTTTCCAAACGCGCATTTGACAGATTTCGCGCACTGTGATTGGTCAACGCGTTGCAAACTCTTGGAGGCGCACTGTTGTAAAACGCCCGCACTAGAATAGGATGATAACTCTTATAAAGGAACAGTCAGACACTGAACATTCTTATCATAATTCTTCGTCGTCACAAGACCACTGTTTTAATATCCGTATTAAATTGAGCTCAGCCGCACCAGTAATAAACCCCGGATAAAGAATATGACATTGTGACACCGTGGTTCATATTTTGTTGGGGTGAAGTTCAACACCTACTGACTATGCATATTGAAAGTGCTGTGATTTCATTGGGGCACAACTGTAAGTGGGAGCTCTTTCAGTTTGAGATCATGACATTTAAATTGAGCATCTGACCATTTCTGTTTTATATTCCAAACAGCTTGACTTGTACGTGAAATGGGAGCTTCGAGATCAAACCACGAGGGACATCTTTTGCTTCAGATTTCCCGCTCAGCTGGTAAGATAAGGCGGACTTCAATTACCGGCAGTGGGCTTCGATGCATTCACATGTCATTACGTTTACCATACATTCGAAAATTTCTGCGAATGGATATTTCCATTGAGATTTTTTAAAATTTGAGCACAGTTTCATAGATAATGTAAACCTTTATTATTAAAATTAAAGATTAGGCTTCATCGATAAAGTCCCTGGATTAAAGTAACATTCGGAATTATTTCCCGCCGTACTCTAGGAGATGGTATAAGTTTTGCATGCAAAGTAGGTGTCGGTCCCCATCCCTGAGGATAAGATCTGAATGGTTAAATTTGTACTATGTTGGGGAAAAAAGGTCTGCCAAAGTTTGATCAAAACTGTTTCCTTTTCTTTCTTTTTTCATTTGAACAAATCGAAAAAACAGTCTTAAAATGCTGAAACGTGTGTACTAAAGACACTGTTTATGACCAATAACTAGGTTATGACAGCTAGGGCCTACTGAGAAATTCTGACAGCTTAAAGTCAAAGGGTAAAACAGTATGACTTTTTGACTCGGAGTGGGGGTAATAGAAGGTTTACGCTGTTCAGTCTGCGTTCAGTTCATGATTTCCATTTCACTTTGCGCCGGTGATGTTAATTTTGTACCAATCAATGATTGTTTTTAAAATTACAAAAAAATACAAGGGACTTCAAACGCACGAAATGATCCTCCCTTCTGTCGTATCTCCGTTTGGAAAATGCACGGACTCTGTCTCAGTATTTCCACAATTTTCCGGGAATTCGCTTCTTGTTGAAATAAAATGAAAACTGAAATAGGGTATCAGTCAACCAAATTCCCATCTGTGACACATGACTATACGTCGACAGCTATGTACTCGTGAAAATGGTAAACAGTTTGTAACTCTGAAAAAAACCACACACACAGACAATACACTGGTCGGTAAACATCTGCCGTGATGTGACGAAGTCCGCCGTGATAAGAACTAGGCTAGGTCAAGAGTGCCAGTTCAAACAATCACATGAACATAACATTCACCATACAAAGCGTAATTTCAACAGCTTTTTATTTCTGTTTCAAAGTGCACAATAATAGGTTTTCCCACTCAAAGTCGTAAGATTTAAGTGGCTGAATCAGCGTCCTCCAGGATCATTCGTGGTTGATTAATTAAGATGTCATTTTCTTCAAAATCATCAAATAGAATAAAAAATCATCTGAAGAATAAATATGCTACATGTTCTATTTTGGAATTCCTTTGCTTGTATTTCATTTGCTGAGTTCAAACAAGTAAATCTATACTGCCGAATCCTCCGGGAGTTTTTTGAATGGACATTTTTATTCTACGGACAGTATTATAAAATCATGCGCTTATGTACCCAAATCGAGCGGTGACGTTGGCTGATTTAACGTTGATCAGAGTATGCATTCTCATTCAAACGAAATGATTTATTCTTTATCCGTTTGGCTCCTTAATATATATGTTCCCTGACCGGGAAAACATTCATATGTACATTGGCACAAGATGAGGAAATGCCGTGGACTAGCAGATCACAATGCATTTTACTGTTCTTCTGATGTCGACAGTTTTTTTTTCCTGCCAGGTGGAATGGTCTATCAAATACGGGCGATGACGAACTGTTACAGTAAACCAAGCCGAAAGCAAACCGTAGTAATCGGTGATATCCTACGTAAACGTGTGTATGGACTTAATACACGTGCAAAAACTTGGACTTTATTTAAATTATCACGTCCGCATTGGTTTTGCTACGATCTGTGACAAATTACAAGGTTTTGCTTATAAACAGCCAGAAGGAACGATTTCAGAAGTCAATAAATGGATATCTCATAATAACTATCTTACCTTTCTTAAATAAAAACATCTTGAAAGCATCTTCAAAACACTGGACAACTTCAATTAACTGGTAAATTCAAAACATTGAAGCGGTCTCATAATCAAACGGCTGATTCCTACACATCCGTGCTGGGCGCTTTTTTCTTTAACAGAACCGCGCTGGGAAGGAGTACATATTTAAATTTAAAGCATTCATCGCTACGTAAAATAAGTCATCGATTTTTGTTCAGTCTTTAAGTTTTAATCCGATAAGCAATAACCAATTAAATGTCGCAATTCAAGGAAGAATGGGCTTGCTAAATTCATACACATTATACAGATTTGTCTAATCGAAAAATCAAGCAACAACACAAAGATTATCTTACTTATAAACACAGGTTTGACTTTTGGTCCCACTATATCGGAAAGAAATATTGACAAGTTTTCTGTCTAATTCTAGGTACTGACATCTGTGGTGGAAATGTTCTCGATTTGTTTAACCCACAGGAACGGAGTGTGACATAGACGAGGGCGCTCCTGTGCAAATTGCGGACAATTCTTAGTACTCCTGGTATGAGCCCCGAGCTGGGTCAAGAGAGGGCGCAATTTTCCAAGCAATGCAAGCAGCGAAGTGCAGTGGGAACTGCACTTTGCTGATACACAAACGACTATGAAATGCACGCATTGCGGTTACATCGCTACCAACAAAATGAGCACTCCCGACCAAATGGCTCTTATCAATCGATGAGGGCGTGTTTCTCCTCTAGGCGGATATTGTCGCTGATTGTGCCTTGTGCCAAATCATTTGTAAGGCTTCCGTTGTTTTAATAAGTTCTACATTCTGTTGGGCTATGTCTGAGAAAGTAGTTCTTTTCAAAGGCCTCTGGCTTTACAACAATGTCTATCAATAATAATCAGTTACAAAGACTCCTGGTGAACAACATCCGGTTTTTACAGACCCCGTAAAACCACACGACAAAAAAGAAAGAAGGGAACAAAATCCATTGTGCTTGACAATATAAAATGAGGAAAACAAAAAGATATAGGAGGGAAACAGGAACCTAAAAATAGGCCACAAACTTCCATGGAATTTCCACTCATTCAACGGAAACGAGGAGCAGGTCGCTACAGGACGCCGACGAGGGCCTCGCATTCTTTGCCGTGTTTGTCCAGGAGTCGCGTCTGACAGGTGGTCTTGTCTTTGAATACGGTGCATTGCTGTCGGTCGTAGACGGTGGGGACATAAAACCTGCGACCGTGAACAATATAAAGACATTCTTAACAGTGGCTTTTAGCTTATTTATCATGAACTTGCGGCGGCCAAACTTTAATAGCATTCGGGTCGGCCACTTGAGGGCGCTGCCCAGAGAGTCTGCATGACGCTTGGTCGATGTCTGGAAAACTTGGGTATTCGGATAATCTTACTTTTCACAACCCTTGTTTTGTTACCAATTGTGCAGCGTTATTTCAGAGAGGACCACGTTTTGAGCACTGATGCCAACTTGGTCGAGGAGGGCAGTCAGAAGAGAATGCAGCAATATTCGTACATTGCAACATCAAGGCTCTGGCATGCCTGACCGACAACACATTCAAGCCTTCTCGTGAAGGGTATAGGACACGAAGAATATCTTAGCTGGTAAGCTTTGATCACCGTTACATTCAACTTCAGCTTTAAATTAAAGAGTTTCCAGAGCAAACTATTTCATATGCAGCAAGTTATGAGACGGAGAGAAACCCCCCCTTCTTTGTGTTGGTCATTGTCTCGCAGGAATCTGGGGAATTCCTTTCAGACATCTTGGGGGAAGTAACAATAGTCTGGAATGTGTATAGGGATTGGACATGTTGGGGGGGTACCCCTCGGTCTCATTTCTTGCTGGGTATAAACTATTTGCAAATTATGTAAACACCACATGAATTAATTCTTTCACGAGTCAACGCCCATGGTCTTCCTGAGAACCACCTGTTTTATTGGTAGGCCTATCTGAAAATCATTAATTAATCATGAACAGTGTTGTCCATTGCATAAGAGACGGTTTCACGGAACCGTCACGGCGAGAGGATGCCATTTACAGAGTATCAGCCCTGCGTGGGATTATGACTTACTTTGAACAGCACTCGTAGCCAACGTCACCAGTGCAGAAACACGACTCACAGTCATCAGTCTCCCACATATCAAACAAACCATATCGGTGATTCTGATAAACACAAGGCTCATCTGAAATCAGTGATAAGTAACAAAGACAACTGTGACAGCTAGTCGATTTCTCTTTTAATCAAGCGAAAGTGAGATCGTGACACATATACTTACCAAAGCTATCTTGAAGTCTGATAAAGTGCTTTGATCATTAACCACCAGTAAATAAGCATTACAGCGTGGCAAGGGACCAAAACATACAGTTGAGTACATTCTGACAAGGTTGTGATTATAGTCCCACATTGAAGGGTTGGCATATTTAACACAGGACTGAATAGGCCTCATATAGAGTACAGAAAGGCAAGATTTGGACCGAATTAAAGGAGGGTTCAATATATGGGGGCTGACAAGGCTTGAGTGTATATGACAGGCTAAATAAGGGCATCGATAGTGTACAAATGATCAAAGGGAATGTAAGGTTTGACGTACTGCCACACAAGAGTCTACCAGAATACTAATTGCCGGGTGACGCATTCCTTATTTTTAAAAAGGGGGCCGTCTCAAATGTATCTAAATCGTGAAAGTTCTGTGCACTATACCAGGACTGTCAAACGCAAGATACAGTCTGGATTTAGGGACGGGCAGACGCGTCATGGGACAAGCTTTACAAGTAAACGTACGGTATAGAAGGAAAGTGACGCAACGGGGAAACCCAACTGAACTTTAGGAAATAAAAAGAACGAAGAAAGAACAAAGAACGACTCTCTCTAATGCACAGGGAGCATTACTGATGGTTAAACTTCTGTCTCAAACATCGTCGGCCCGGAACGATCACGTGAAAACACAACAGCTACGCGTGTCACCCTCACCACGGGACATCACATCAAAGACTAGTCTCCACTCCACAGTTCAAACTATAATGCGGGGACCGCTATCCAGACTATTCATTGGTACCACTGCTATTTTCACCATACAGATAATAATAGTAAACTTTCGTGGGAGCCAGCGAACTGGCGTTACGATAACATCAACTGATGGAGTTCTGCATTTCTTTTGTCGACGATTGAAGTTCATAAATTCGTAAGCGTCGTACAACTTTCTGCGCGGCAACCGACCGAGATACTCATCGTTTTGATTAAATTGAAGACCTTCAGATAAGGAAATAATGACAAAGATTTCAAGACCGTGCCTCGGTTCCTACGAGTCCCTTGGTTATTAAAACAGCATGCCCCACATCACAGAAGACAATGATGGTTTCAATCTAAGCTGTATCACGCCCCATCCCAGTGCTCTATAATAGCAATGGTACTCGTTTTATTATTCGCTAACACTACCACTAGCAAAATCCTAAGTGCAGAGGATCATGGGAAGAAAAACGAATATTGATACATTCCACCAAACCGTGTACAAAGTTTGTAGAAACTGTTCACCATGTATAATCAACTAAATTACTCGTAAGTATGGAAAGTAGTTGGCTATAGTTCATTGTCGGTGTTTCAACCTATGGTCCAGCTCGTCCACTCGCTTCGTCATCGAACTTAGGTGCCATTTCAGCGCCGTCGACTGTTGACAGACTTGTTTTGAGCTTGGACATCAACAGTGCGGGAACGGGGGCGTGAAGATGTCAGAGAACCCTGTCAACAGATTAGCGGGATTTTTTCTAGATGCGTAAATGGGTAAGAGGAAATTGTGCGTTGAACTCATTTTGTGCCGAAGTGGTAATAAATTTTTCACACCTTGGCCGTATTGTGCATGACTTTGTGCACAGAGGGGGCGGGACTGGCATAATGCGATATAAAGCAACAGGACCACTCGTCACACATAGTTCAGACCTCTCGAAGAAAGATGCATCAACGAAGTTTGCATGGAGATCGCAATTACTTGATATGTGTTGTATATATCACTGGGCACTGAAAAGATTTCAGACGTAATATATACATACATCAACCATCTTGTGCCCAAGCAACTACAACAGTCGACAGCTTGTTAATAATGACGATTTGGACCGTAATTTTGTTTAAATAGTCACGACAAAATTTGTCGGTTTAGGTTGAGTTTGTGTTTACTTGTAGCATAAAGGAAGGACACAGAAGGAGTTTGAAGTGCCTGGGTTGTAAAATCTGGCCAATTACTGTATTCTGGCATGCCTTGTATGTCCATAGCCAGAGTGCAGCGAACACTTGCTACGCACGATCTGTTTCACAACCACGAAATCCCTTTGTCGACGCAATTTGTCGATGGTAATCTGCACCCTAAAAAACGTCGTGTACTGAGGTATAGGAAATTGCATATTCATGCTTTGTTGGTACTTGGTATGATGTCATGACAACATCAAATTTAATGCTTGCGCGGTTGCCTGCATTACGCTGTGTACCCTAAATCTATATGTGCAGTCATTGCCCTTAGTGAGCTCTTTCTTCTGGGGTTATTTTGGGAATAAATAGCCCGGTTGTTCACAAGATTTTGTGTTTTGTTTGAATCATTTTTATTACGGCATTTGTACAAAAGCGTATTTTATGAGATTCCACGATCACTCCCTGTGGTGAAATAGCGCATTTTTGTTCCCAATGATCTAAGATTTCCAGTAGTAATGAACATTTTGTTGGCCCAGGTCAGTCTTAGCCAAATTCGTACCGAATCTTTGAACACTGATGTATTGGACGGAGGAGAATAAAATTACAAGTTTTGCATGGATAATGAAACAAGTGTATCAAAATTTTAAAATTTTATTTATGATGACAAAAGTAAGTCCAATATCAGGGATTTTTCTCTCTATATATCCTGGTCCATGCAATAATTTGTATTTAATTGCAAGCAAAAAACTTCAAGTATTCCGGGATATTACTGGCCCGCTTGTCCGGCTAAGATGCAGGCAGTAATCAGGCAAATTTGGAATGTTTTCTATTATTCGTCTGACTCGGCGGTGACCATCATTGAACACTTTGAAGTGCCTGCGTTGCAACTCCTTGTATGTCCTTCCTCTATGGTTAAATTTGGCTGAACTGGGCTACGTTGGGTTAAGCCTTCGAGTTAGGGTTGGAGAGTCGAATTAATTTGTTACGATACAAAAAGTATAACTTACCAAAATAGTAGCACTGGGCGTCTGTGTTAGACATTAAAACTGCCAGTGACAGGCACATAAACATCACTACCATGTGAGACACCATCGCTGCTGGTAGTATCTGTGAACGACATAAAACAATTACTCACGCAATGAGAAACGAGATAGAATATTCCCTCAAAAAGATACCTTACTGAAGATTTGATGCACGGAATCTATAGAGTCGGATTGGTGCTGTCCATTAACAATGGCGCTTTGATTGCGTGCAACTCAGAGCCTGGGCCAGCTTCCTGACATAATAACATGAATTGACAAAGTATATCGTGCTGATGATAACGGTCGTGCGCACCGTCGGAGTATCTCATCTGTCACGGTCTTGAAGACGTTAGCGTTGAGGAGAATTGTCTAGAATCCAACTGGGAAATAAGATATCTCTGCTGCTATGCTACGCTTGGCAACACACAGCTGCCTTTTTCAAGGATATGTTAACGGTGACTAATGCATGTGATGGGAAACGGATTTCCGTTAAGCGATAGATCCGTATTTTCTGGTGCATTTACTTGTTTCAGAGTTTCATACTTCAGGTCATTATTCTTTGCACCTTGGAACTGAGAACACTTTAATCCCTCGGAGAGTCTTCTGCTACTTCTTGAGTGCCCTTTTTTTAAATTCCACTTTTTATTTCTTGCAATTTCCAATGCTAAAGAATGTCGAGTACTCTTGCGAATGTTCCTCCAAGTCATGTGCAGCTGTCTCGTTTGTTATCGTACGTGGAATGTTAACACCGATGACAGGGAAAGATTTTCCCGTTCTTGTGGCTTGATCATCTGTCATTACATGTAATGTAACCATCCGATGAAACCCTGTTTGATTTACGGCAGTTGGAAAAATGTAATTATTCTTTGACGAAAAAAGACGTCACATGATCGTGTGGTCTGCCCATCGAGTGTCCCTCGACTCTTTAATGTACCTTCTGAAGTTGTTGTCATTGCGCGCACTCAAACAACATCTGGTTCACATTTGGAACAGTTGCCTTGCTTCGCGGGAAACATGAACGTTTCAAGCTAACTAAATGCTTTCGTTTTGCTCCTTATAACCGCAATGAAATATTACCACCCACAATGGGCATATTCCATTTTGGAGATGGGTTAGCCATTGTTTTGCACTTCAGTTGATAAATCGTTTTGCGTGAAGAGAGGAAAAACTACACTATTGCTTCCTGTAGCTGGTTGCAATACTTAACAGTGCAATCAATTTACCCCAACGGTTTCTATATCATTTTTCATCTTGATGAAATTGACAGACTTGTAAGCGGGCCGAAGTATTGTCTCAAATTAAAGTTAGATTGGTATAAATGGTGCATTCCATTTTACTTTCAGAACGCTGGAAATGCCGTAATCGAGCCGTCAGACACGAAACAGAATGGTCGCTATACTGTTTATCAAGGTTATTCCGTCGTGAAAGGTGCTGTTGGGATTAAACTTACCAACTGACCTACAAATACGAGACTTCCGGCTGTTTCTCTCTGTGCCAGCCCGTTAACACATTAAGGATAATGGGATCTCTCGTTACATATCAAACAGAAATAAGTTACCAATGCCTTATGATATTGGAATTGCCCCGGGCGCTGAACACCCGAGATTCTATCGTAATAATTTGGTAACAGGCTGTGGTGTGACGATTGATGTGTAATGTAATATGGAATTTGAAGTATGACCATATCAACACATAAGCGCGAGTTTATGGATTAGAATCGCGAACTTGTAAAATTGAAAGACATACCGCGAAAGATATCATGACATTGGAAATTCAAAGATAGTAGGTACTCCCCAGTTTTTTCTGATGTTTTAATTGGCGTCATAGACTGAACGGGCCACTTTGTGCCTCATTTTGTCGATCGTACGACGATCTGACGTATCTCAATTTTTGACAAATTCATGTTTTTAGCATATTTTTGTTATGCATGATGAAATCTTTATTTTCTGAACTTGTAGATGCTTTGCAAAGCTAATTAAATTAATTTGGGTAATTAAAAATGTTGACTTACCTCTCCGAAATTTAAAACTATTGTTTCACGGACTGACGCATTGAGATAGATCACTTCGTGAAACGTGTAGACAACGCTGTTTTATTTTTACGAAGTGACAAAGTCTGGTATCTGGACCGCGATACCTATCGAAGTCATTTGAAGGTCAGTCATTCGGAACCAGTCTTTAGCGCTGTTTCGTTTTCATTTGGTGGGTGAGAGCTATGTTTCTGGAAATGACTGAACATAAGTGTACTCCTTGCTTTTCTTAATGCTGATATTCTAATAAAATCGTGATGGCCATTCGTGTGTGGGAAGACACAAAGTCCTAAGCTAGGCGTACATTTTAAGGTAAGTCTGACTTTTTTTTACGCGAAGCACTACTAATAGGCCTATTTGTTTGTGTGCATTTCCCCTCAGATTTCTTATAAATTGCAATTTGCAGTGCTGGATCTGCGTATCAATGGAGAAGGAGTTGTTCTCCAGCTGTTACTGTAGTCATGTTTAGGCTGCATCCGAATCTGTTGTCTAGAGCTAGGTCTAGGTCTTCACTCCATTGAAAGTACGTGGAGACGCCCAGACAATAGACCTAGCTGTAGCTCTGGAAGCCCGTTTCGGACACGGCCTAAGTTTCTATTCTTCACTAATGTCATTTAAAAGTCACCAATTTCCTTTAAAAAAATTATGAAATAACTCTGACATTAATTTTGGTCTACTTCCTTTACTAATTTCATTTAAAAGTCAATGATGTCCTTTAATTAAAATGATTATGAAACAACAGGTTTGACATTAAGTCTACTTCCTTTACTAAGTCATTTAAAAGTCGCCCATGTCCCTTACAACTCTGAAATTTGGACTACTTATGTCATTTAAGGTCACCGATGCCGTTTGAAGTGATTGAGAAACAACCCAGGTGGCATTTGTTCTTGCACTGTTTATTTTACCTACACCATGGCTTGAAATTAAACTGAAGACATAATAACTGATAATGGTCAGTCCAAGTCAAACGCTTAGACGGACGCTTTATTTATCTTTTAACAAGTCTTTTGTTAGACCTTCTTTTCCGCCCATTGAGTTTCCCTTAAATAGGGCCTTTTTTCTGATGGGCTACACTCAACAATAAAACCTGCATTATAAAATACCACAAATTATACAGTGACAAAAGCAGTAGATTTCTTTTAAAATTTATGTCTTTGCTAGGCCCTATATTATTGTTATTCCTTTTAATGGAGGCATTTAAAGTATCTTCAAAACTTGACCCCGGGTATACATGGAAAAATAAGTTCGTATAATGAGAAGGTACACTTTGAAAAATAGCAAAAATAGAAAATAAGAGTTCGTGACTTTCCCGAGGGGATCCCCTTCTAATTTCCTTCAGCTTTCGCAAAGTTTTACTCTGTAAGACCCTTTTAATCGGAAAATATAAACAAAACTCAGTGAAGGATTTTAAACGAACCTCCATACAGTTCAACGTGAAAAAGTCCGCGCGCACGCACACACGCCATGCCAGTATGGTCATTGTCCGCCACAGAGAAATCGAATGTTTCGTTCCACAAAGTGACCCATCTGTGTAGGTCGCGGTTTGGGCTTTTAAAATAAGACAATAAAACTTTAACAAAGTGACATATGGTTTGGGTGCCTCATTTTAACCTCGTACGTAAGATTGTTTCCCAACAAGATAGCTCATATAGTAATTTAACTATCTAACTTTATTATGATACAAAATCTCTGTCAATAAAAGTTAGGATTGTGGAAGAAATGAAAGATTCAAAACGGACCCAACTTCAAACACGGTTTTCCTCAGAAACTGAGATAGGTCAGATCGCGGTATGACAAACGATTTTATGAACAAATTTCGCTGTGTTGCCGTTGGTTTGGCAATGCAAGTGGCGCGCTGGTAGAGAAGTGTTGCGGTGGAAAATCGACGATTGTAGTTGAGTCCCTCTTGAGCCATGCAGTAGCAAGAATCAGATTTCATTTGAACAGCTTGCGCATGGGTTCAAACTGCATAGCAAGGACTTCCTGACGACATGAGGAGGACTGAACAACATCACTGACATTTACCTCCGCTTTCCTCAATCGTTTTTCTTCATGAACATTTCTTTCCTGTTCGTTTTCACCGAGGTACAGTAAAATAATGAGCTCTGACGTCTAATTGACGACCGCCTTAATGGGTTATTTTCAAATTCTGGTTCACCTGCCTCCAGAAAGGGCAACTATTTCTTGAGAAACCACAGAATTTCGAGCCTCACCCCTTCTATCTTATTTTGTAAAAACTTGTGGTTATGAATATTGGCATGAATGCCCCAAAGAAGGTCTGGGTATTCATTATTTCACTTCACTTTTGACATTCGGGATACAGTGCGCGCCGTTTGCGTCAAAAAGTAAAAGGTAACCTAACAGCCAATAAATCGAATGAAGTATTTAAGCGTCGTGTCTTTATCAGTCATTACCTTGAAATAATCTTGTACCCGTCTCACATGATTGCCTTTTGCGAAATAGTTTACGTATGTGACGCAACCAACTTGCTGTGGTGACCACCGTCCGTCCTTCAACCTGATATTGGACATTAACAAAGTGTAATTTAATTCGACGCCCATGGTCCGTAGACATCCTTCAAAGCGAATGTTACGACTGAGCGATTCTTGGCGGACCTGAGTGGATCGCTGATCCCAGACCAATCGCTCTTGGCATGATGTCGTTATGGTTTTGGAGTCGGAGTTTACGCCGGTCTGCTAAACTAATTGATATTTGAAAACCATAGTTCGTGAAAAATGCAATCTCGTTATTCCTGGCAGATCTTTAATGTGCTCAGCGTACTGGCGCTGACGATGTCGGGGAATGCACGTTGGACAGAATCTTACCCGAGAATTTGAAGTTAATGACTTAAGTAAGCCCAGCTGCAGCAAATTTGTCAATAGCCAAATCATAAAATCTTTTGAGGATACTGCGATTGGAACTCGTGCTTATAAGTGAAGTTTCTGTTTTTCTCAAATTAAACCACCATACTAAACAAAATCCTTGTGAAAATTATCAGCATCTTGTTTCTTTCATGTCTAGTTTTTTTGGTTCAGAACCCATTCTGTTTCAAAATTGCACGCAGTCATCGCTGACCGATAAAAGTTTGATACTGATAACAGAATAGATACTAAAAAAATAAAGAAAAGTATTTACACCAGCTAAATGCCCACACCGAGCTTGTTCCATAAAAGATCAATTTCTCAGAATTACGTCGGAACGTTCGCGTTCGAACGAGGACTTTCTTTTTTATTCACGCTGTGAGTTTCCATTGGGAACGCGCATGTGCATAGGCGTTGACCACGAGTGTTCCAACTTGAAAACGCGTTGTTTCCAAGCTATTCGGGACGGCAGATGTTCTGAAAAGGAAAAGGCAGAATTCTCGTAGGAATTAATATTCTCCATTGTACTAACCTTTGAGACGCTCACAGAGTCGACCCGATAACGGATTCGTTGTCTTATATTGGACCGATAGATTGGAAAGTGGAATACATTTATACGCGCCAAGCTTACAATCGTATAATTATGTTAGGATTGACAGAATGTCTCGTAATTCCAGTTTCTCTTGCTTACCACAAAACGCCAGTGGCACGAGAGATCCAAAGTTGCAGGCTGACTTTACCCCACTGAGATCCCCAAATCGGGACTCGAACTGGTTGCTGATTGCAGAAATACATGGGTCCTCCTGTTTGGCTTGTTTTGGGCTTTCGGGCCTGGTAGCGCAGAGCTACTAGCTCTCTGCATGAGGAATGCAGTGCAGATTTGGTGATGGATTTCGGAGCAAGCATCGGAGACTTGGATAACGCAGGCAGAAGTCGTAGCAGGTGTTGTCAATAACAAGTTGTCGATCCGCCTCGATCACTCATTGTGCCATTAAAGTGGCACCCGGCGTATAATGGTCATTAAGGCGGATATCCTTGAACGTCAGCGAAGTAGCGCAGGAAGAGCAGGCGAGCAGCCGGCCGTAATCAGGTATAAACAAGCCATAATGATGAAATGATGAGCCCTGGCTTCGGTGAGATTAATGTGTTATTGTTTTTTTTTACCCTGGTCATCACTCAATATGTCATCTATTTTGGCGCCCTTATCACAGACTGATAGGCCCTATCACTTTGTGCAGTCGGTCGGTCTCTAGTTTCTGTAATGAATTTTCCTCAATCGCATTGTAATGTTATTTCGAACATGGCTTGAAAGCATCTTGCCGAGTTGACACTTGTTATATCTGGTCATTCCGCTTTACAACATTTCTGTAAATTATCTTTACGCAGGCAAAGTGGTGTATTTTAGGCAATAGCAGAAATGACAGTGAATAGGTTAACGTATACGTTTTACAACTATATATTTATATTTAAAAAGTCAAATATTTTATGATCAAGAGTAACTTTTCTCTTTCCCGTTTCCCCTTTGTAAGCAGGTGATATGAACATGTGACTCCAGAGTACATTTATGTCGATTCATTGATTGATTTTAGAGGTTTTAATAAGCAACATGCCTTTCCTGGAATTATGGTGCAAGCAAAATTTGGATGATGAAATTGGGTTAAGCGGGGTGAATGTTTATTTCGCAACGGGTTAAAAGAACTCACTTGATTACCAGTAAGATAAAAATTTCTCCAAAACAAGTGACTCGGGAAATTTAACCTGCGGTGCAAACATGATTTAACCGATTGCTCACTATGGTGACGTTATTATTACCATTCAACTCCTCAATATCCTCACTTACATGAACCATGAAAGGAGGCAATTGCTGCCCAGAGTGCTTCGATTACTGAACGATTTCATCCACAAATCAGAGTAGCAGAGGGGACGGCTGTCAAACAATCGCCGTCAATTAATTAACCCTCCGCGCGCTGTAGGTGATTCAGGAATTGCCGCTAAAACGTTTCTCAGCATCGCAACTGCCACGGAATTTAGGGGTTGATAAATTACCAACGTTTGGCTGTGTTTTCATATTAGCGTGTTGTATCCAACGTGTACCTCTCTACCATCGAGAATAAACATCATTGCACCAACTACAGTAAAGCTAAATTATCCACTGCGGAAATCCGGGTACTTTGCTATACGAACGGAAGAGTATATCACGCCGAGAAATAATTTCATAGATGGCTTGGCAAAATTTGTCCAATTTTCTGTTCTCTTTGTATATGTCACAAGAATCACAGTGTAGATGAGTAACGGTTTGGGGAAAAGTGTACACAGGACGACGTCACCGACGAAAACACCAAAAGCTGTTGATATTTCCAGTTTATGGTATTCTATTTGAGGATTGCAGACTTTAATTAAATTCAATGCTAAAACGATCTTTCTTTAGCAACTACATTTTCCAGTTAGCTCAAGCCCGAGACGCCGAAAAACGGTTTGAAACCATCTGCCAGAACAGTGGTTTCCATGTTTACTTTGACCGAAGTCAACGAGGTTGATTTGAGAAAGTGTATCATTGACGGCTAAGGTCGTCTCTGCTGCGCCGCAGAACAGAGACTGGTTGCTGTCTGTCACTGGCTGCTGAATCGGACAGAGCCTCCTGGGGAATTTTGTTGTTTGCCCTGTGCATTCTCCCACGCGAGACCGCAAAAACTCCCCAGTTCATTAAAAACGGAATCCCTGCGTGGATCTAGATTCGGAAAATAATTATTTTTATGTTGAGAAGAATACCCTGAAAGAGAAGAGCACTGCCTTCAAAGAAAAATTTTAACAACTCGGGAATGCAAACTCTGTTCGATATTATTTTGCATGACTTCCTTTTTATAGGTTATTGTCTATACGAAACATATCGAAGCATTATACGTAGTCCAAAATACGAAGAATTACATTCGCTTGTGTTAGCTCGCATATTGCTGCCTGATCGATTTTCACGTCATAAAGACACGTTTTCAGAGAGTTTCCAGGGGAGGGTGGCACCAGCTATGGGCTTTTGAATTTATGCATATAAAAACTTTCCCCAAAGCATGCACACGCGCAGAATTACATTTTTCTCCTGGAACAACTGTCTGTATACCACTGACAACGTCTTTAGCTACAGGTCAGATTAAAGCGCTTTCCTGAAATCAGACTTTACAAAAAACAATATTAAAGAGAAGCTGTTTGTCGCTAAGAGCGTAAATGCGCTAAACACATCGTGTAAAGGAAATCTGACCAAGGTGAATGTAGCCTACTAAGTAATTCTGATGCTGGATACTGTAAAAAATACTGTACTCTTCCATTCAAGTATTAAGCTTAAAAGAAAGCCCTAAAGGAAGAAAGGAAACAGGTATACGTAGACCTAATATACTTGTCATTTTGGGTCATTGTAAGTAAAAATATTGTCGAACTTACCAACTTTGTTGGAAAGGAACGCAAACGGATAGCCGATCTGGTAGAGCCTGATTAATTTGCCGTAAAGTCAGCCCCTCGCGTCACGGGAACAGCCTGGGATACGAATGTCGCGGTGCCGGGTTTGTAATGCCATTTGTATCCTCCTCTGCCCCACAAAGTCCACACTTGACTGGTCGCGATGATGAACTTGCATCCCACGCACTGATCCCAGAGCGTGCGCGCGCGCGCGACGGGCAACTTGATTAAGCAGCTTTCAGCATTTTGGACTCAACTGGCGATGAGGAACGATGATGGGGGTCGCTGGCAGGGTGATTCGTCACCCGTCGACCGTCCAGCGACGACTCGCCTTGGCGCGAGCCACGCAGAATTCAATTAGGGAGAGTGGGAAGAAAGTTTACGGCATCATGGAGTCGCTATTATGGATGCGATGTCTTAGATAGTTCAAAAGCACTTTTTCAGCCCACTATCTGCTCATTCATATGTCTTGAGTCAGTGGAGAAACATAAGGCGCATTAATATACAAATGCTCGGAAATATTGAATTATGCTTATCGAAAAGGGTTTAGCAACTAAAGGCTTTCATTGTACTAAACTCTACAGAAAAATCGATCTTGAAGTTTTTTATTTTCTTCAACGTAGCCATTAATCCTAAACGAGATACAAACTTTACCATACACGTGTTTCTGGTGGTGTTCATGGTAAACTGACGAGAGAAATCGTGAACGGTAATAATAACAGGTGCGTTATACGACAGGCTTGGGCACTACATTAATGTCCCATTCGCGCCTCAATCCCCGAATTTGAATGGAATTCCTTCCAAATCCAACTCCTCAACTTCAGGAGGTGAAAAGAGGCAGAGATGTGGCTGAAAAGCAGAACGTGAAAGAAGTTTAGCCCTTTGCATCAGATAGTCCTTAGACATCCGCTAGATTGGACTTGCATCCTTGCAGCTGAAATTTCAATTTTCCATTTTTACTCACTGAGGCTTTTACTATGAACGATGTTACAGAGAAGGCACCAGTTTTCTCAGAACAATAAAAGCATGACGTATTTAGCTTCTGAGTGCATCATTGCCCGCATATCCTCTTCGCTTCACTGATGACTCGACATTTTTTAATCTGATGTAATGTCCAAATCCTATGAAGATGATATTCAGTTCAATCTAACGCCCTGTGCAAGGTGCAACCCACCTGATGGAGTTTCAAGTTCAAGGTTGCTTGCAGCTCATTGCAGGAATGCTCGTAATGACTATACCTTCCATCAAACGGCATAACCTGCCTAAGCCATCAATGCAGCATTACCCAGTGTTGCAAAACAAGACTAATTGACATAGTGACAACTTGATTTGCCGAAGCCAGCGACATTAAATTCTACCCAAGGCCGCGAATGCGTGCGGGGCAACATTACTCCAGCGAGTAAAGCATGTCAGGTACGGTTGTGCACACATTCGAGAGACCACACCCTAAACTGCTCAGTCAAATGACTACTGCAGTTTGAACATTTCCATTTGTTGAAAGCCCTTCGCCCACGTGGGCGGTGTTAAACTACCGGCATAACACACTGGGCCGGGCCGCTACGCAACACGCTGCCAGTCTCCGTATAAAAATTTGGGCACTCCCTGCACAAACACGTGCAGTTTACTTGGACAAGAGGGGTGTTTCCCAAAAAAAGAAGGGGTGGTGGATCAGAACCTATGGCCTTTTTTAAAACATTTTTTTGGCTTGGGCTTTTTGGCAGCAAAAGCGATTTACGACTGTGGATTTTGATGTGCTTGGGGGCCGTGTTAGTAACCGGGTAAAAATGTGGTTACATGCTTACGGCTTCCGCTAGTAACCAGACCCAAAGCGGCACAGTTTAATTGAACTATACGTCTAAATCTGTGTTATACAACGTGAGATATTTACATTAGGTCCATACCACTCTGTGTTAACTGTACACCAAGCATGTGTTCCAAGGCCTACATATGCTAGAATGAAATATGCTTCATGGCATGACGTTATAAAAGTCAACATCAGAATTACCTCTTTGAAAGGATATAAACTTGAATCGTATATTCTGCCCCAAGTATGAAGTTTTCACCTTTCTCTGCTGTCCCTACTCTTGCGAAAACAAGAAGATACCGGTCGACTCTATCACACTCGTTGCGTAAGTATGACCTCACTTTAGTTTTCCCCTCACGGAACAACCTTTGTAAGAAAACTCGTTTTCGAAGAAGACGCACCAGGGCGCGGCGCTAATAAATAAATCAGTTGTTTCTCTCTTCGACTCCATATGCTGGCAGCTGGTCGAGCAATTAAAATCGATTACTCAAGCGGTACAAACTGACACGACTTGGCTTAAGAAGGAGATAGCTAGTGGCCAGTCGCAAGTCCGCAAGCGCTGATCCACTGACCTTATTCTGTCCCCGGCCCTATGATGTGTTATACCTGGCACTGTCTGTTCCAAGTATAGCACACGGACAGATCCTACGTAGGTCACACCTTTACGATCACACCTTCGGCGCCGAGACACTCGTTTTGATTTACCGACCTTTCTTATAATTAGTTCCATCATCTTGATTGATAGGCGTTGCGAAACACGAATGACATTTCGCGAGAAATTTAATCATGCATCTTCATAAGGAATTTGAACGTAATGATTATCACTATCGGACTCCAATTAGAGGATTTAGAATATCGTCCAAGTTAAATCTGTGGGCTACTCACTACTTATAACAAACACATTTTTACTGACTTTGGTGACTTGTCAATCTTGATCCGTCCTCAGACGTCATAGAAGACCATGTATTACATAGTGGTTAAAACCAAAGATCGTATAGCGCCGCCTGGCGGCGCAAAATAGAGAACTCTGAAAAAAGGTGTTATCGCCGACGTACGTAAGGGATGCATTCCACCAAATGGTTGTATTTCTGCGCGCGAGCTCATTAATGTTTTGTGATCCCACGGGTTTTTTTTACAATAAGACGGGCCATAATCAGGAGGCATCATAGAGTTTTTCAATAAATCTCGAATTTAGGACTGATAGTTTCCAGTTCAGGGCATTTCTTTCACAAAAAAGCCCGAAATTGCGGAGCTATTTTGGATAGAGGCGGGCGGCTACATTCAGAAATGAGCGCTTAGTTTTACTGCTATTTTGGGGTATCTTCGTTCAAAGGCGGATTAAAAAAAATTCGTGGCTAAGCCTCATGAAATTGAAACGAAAAGTGATCTCCCGGCCATAATCTTGAATTTCCAGTGAAAGAACGGAGGCCAACTTTTTCACGAGAGTTAACAGGCGGCGCTATTTCTGTCCGATTTTGCACTGTTTTCTATGGGCGCGTATTTGGTGTAGTGCAACCGTGATGCATCTGCGCAGATGCGCGTGCCTGTCGAGGCGCCTGCGCCTGTGCATTAGCACGCACTATTGCCTACCTAAGGCGCCCAAGCGATTACAACGTTTTGTGTATTCACGGTGAAGTTCTCCATCTTGCACCGCTACGCGGCACAATACGATCTTTGGTTACAACCATCACGCTATGTAAGACTGATTTCTTTTTTCAACAGTCATTGGTACTACGACAAGCCATGTCTTCTCAACTCGTGACATTCTATTTAAAATCAGTAGATATTGGTGGAGAAAAACTACACTACGAAAATGTCGTCTAGACCCAGAAACGAAGCGAGGGTGTGGAGTAAACAGACTGTAGAGATGGAAATTGAAAAAGCAAAAATCAGGACAGCAAATTGAATTATTACGGCCAAAATCACAATGGTGAAAATGTGTTCGACAATAATGTGTCACAAAGGCCTATGCTGCTCGTTTAGTAAGCAGGGATTAATTCCCTCGAAAGTTTTCTTGCTGGAATATTATGGTTATTACCCCCCCCCCCAAAAAAAACCTTCGTGTGTCGTTTTTGCAAACATTCCTATTTATGCACAGGGATGTGCGTAGTTGTCAAGCGCTTGGTGGCGCTCTTTGTAGTTTTCCTTGGTATGTTACTAGAAGCATCGTCAGGAAGCATTCAAGGACAGGGAAATAACGTAAACTTATAATTCGACCTACGTATGCAAAAATGCAATGTAATGCTAATAATGCAGCAGAAGAAAATAGGTCGCATAATAAATGAAATATTGCTGGCCGATACAGGGCGCTTGGGAAGGGCATTTTGACTTTCACAACAAATTTTAGGAAGGAAATAAGTCACAACTCCCCGACGCGCAAAAAAACTGTGGTTAACTTGCGGCCCTAATTCACCAGCGTGTATGTGTCACACACACACGGATGTGTTATCCGACAGACTGGTACAAGTTTTCTAACCGGGTTCTTCAGTTTTGCCCCTAGACTGGTTTTATCATTTGGCTGGTGCACCGTGCAGGCGACTTGCGCCGGCGAGCACAGCCGAATATCACTGCCAGTAGAGGGCGCTATATTTACAAGAGACGAACTGCTAGAAAAATAGTCCTGTTGATTCTGGCGGACTTATCCGAAAAATTCCGAGCAATGCCATGAATAATTGCGCGTTCGGCAGTGCACACGCGCAATTATTCATGGTAACTTCGGCTGTGCTCACCAGCGCATGTCCCCTGTACGGTGCACCGGCCAAAACAGTAGAACGAGTCTTGGGGCAAGACTACCGAAGACCATACATTCCAGAATAAATTCCTCGCCAAAGGACTGCCAATTTCATTTAAAAATACCCCCTTTTTTGTTCCTGCTCGGAGCGGAGTGTTCAAATAAACTCCATCCAATGAGTGCTTGACAAAAAAGTATGTCATACATTCACCCAATACAGCGCCCTGTAGGGGGAGATTTTTTTTTCAAAACACGTTGGAAAACCCTATTTGAAACGGGCTATCATCGTGACTCTTTGTAATTTCCTTTTCAAAGGAAATTGGAGTTTGGAACATCGACAGGGGAAGCTTGCTTCCACGGAGCCTGAAAACTAGTTTCCTCTCAAGAACCATTTTCAACTCAAATCTTCTCCCCGAAAAGTTGAGGAATAAAACGCACGCTTGCGGGCCATGTGGACGAGAGAAACTCTCGAGGAATTCAGAATAAAAAGAATGAGGTCGCACTTCTTCATGTACAGTGCCCTCCAGTAATAAGCTAATCGATAGACTCAATATGCGACTCGGTCATTTGGCTTGAAATTACATTATGATAATGATTTCATAGATCAAATATGTAGAACCAAGGTTAAAGTCATTACTGCGAACGTCACTCGGGAAGCCCTATGAAAACCATCCTTGGCGCCAACTTATGATACGAGTTTATACGCCGGTAAAGCTAGCAGTTTGTAGAGTCCGTAAATTCATACGCTATCGCATTTACTCTGCTGATGGCAACCAGCCAATTAGAAGGATTAGCATCGCAGGTCGTTTTTAAGAGACACGCTCGATGACACACACACATTAAAAAAATTGCCTTTTCTTTCGATTTCAAGTGCAGAAACGAAGTTGATAAGTACACGACAATATCACACTGGTGAAGGGAATGATTACGGATGCAAACGCTCATTATGCGGGGTTCAATTTGAATGGGTCACTAGGAATACTGTTAGTCACGAAAAAAATTCAAATCTAAACAACAACAGGATATTCACACGTAGACATGAACACTAAGAAATATTTCTATACATTCTATATTTACTGTTGAGCATTTTGTGGGTTTGTTGGTTAGATCTGTGTATCTTTTGTCCTTCTTGCCTTAGCGTTCAGTTATTGTTAATCTGTGTGTGCAATGTGTTTTGTGAGTTTGCATCATCTCACCATAATGTCACAGGGACGTAATTTAAAGCTCACCGTGAACGACTGTTACTCAGGAGCAGGGCGCTACAAAACGAGCTTGCGACAAAGGTAACGACTCGCTTACCTGCCTTCGTATCGTGTGTGTGCACATTCATCACTTCGTAGACACGTACACATCCCTTCCCTTGTGGAGACAATGCTTTGTTCATCTGATACTGTGAACCGCTGTTTCTAAAATGTTCCCATGGGCTGTGGAGACCTAGGAGAATAGGTAGAAAAAGTTTCCATACAGAAATTCTGATCATGTAAAGATTACCGTCTCCACAAGGTTTTCAGACAAACGGTCTTTTGGAAATAATTTAAAAGGATGAATTTTTAATACGTAATTATCTGTAAAAAAAAATGATGTAGATTGTGTAAGGGAAAATTGGTTAAAATTTCGACCCGGTAAAGTATAAGTCTGGTTCATGTAGGAGCATTTTCAATCCTGCATTTCACACTGGAATGCTTTAATACAATAGAACAAAGCATTGTCTCCTCAAGCACACAAAGTCCGTTAAATTAATGTGTGTGTTGGCAGGTTCGTTAGAAATGCACTTCCTTGCACCGGTTGCCTGGTAACGAACAACACGTGGAGACGCATATCGATGATTTAAGAAGGCTTTGCGGTGCCTGACGTTATTACTGATGGTGAGTGGATGTCATTTCTCAGCGGAAAACCAACATATACCACGCCCGCAGTCGCTGTGACAGGCTTTTGTCATGATATGACTTAAATGCACTGCAGTCGCTGTGCCGTCGTTTCGTCTGCATGACCTGTTTTGGAAAACAAAGGGGGCTTTATTGTGAGTATTGAGACAAATTGATGTTCTTTTATAGTCCTTGGGAAAGCCTTTGTAGTCTTCTTTTTTCAACTACATGTATACGAAGTTTTCATCTCGTGACCTTACTATAGAGGGAAATTTAATCGGCAATTGATGAAGGGAAACTGCTTGCCTCATGCCACTCAAAATCGTTGATTAATGATGTACTAAACGTCAGGTCTCTGTTTCTGTTGAAATGACAAGGTGGTGTCGGTTATTTGTCGGAATTTTTTCTCGAATTGATTTCATCATTCCGCTTTGTTTTTATTGTGACTTTAACTGAACTTAGGACGACGGAAATTGGGCACGATTTCGCAACAGCGCTCTCCACGATGATGACATAGAAACAACGCATTCATTCTTGAACGACAAAAATGGAATTATTTTGCATTGCTGCAATATCGGAAAAAATGTACAGTGATCCGATACCGGCTTGCCCCTATATGGAAAGACTATTTTATCAATTTTTAAATATGTTATTCTCAGCATTGAAAGGCATTGGTGGAAACATCAAGGTTTTTCTCACCATTAACTCTTCTCAGTCAACAAGCCTTCCCAACAGAGATTGTTTCTTTTTTTATATTTTGTTTTTGAATTGTGTTTAGCCTAAGTGCCACATTTCCTGGGGGAATTTACCAAGCATATTCTAGTAGGGCCAGCCAAATTATGCACATGCAGTGGTTGAGAGAGTGCTTAGAAATACGACAGTTTTGAAATACAGTTATTTGCAAAAACGTTTAAGACCACCTGGAATTTTATTTGTATTTCTGTCACAGGGCCTGAATTACATTGTCTCATTGAATGATTACATAACATGTTTTTACAGTGATGCATAACATCAGTGCAGTGCTGTATACCCATTTGAATGAATTTTTTTGCAAAGGCAGGTCTTATATGACATTTTGTCTGCAAGGCAGCATGGGTAAAAAAAAAGCCAGTCTAAGCAATCAGAAATAAAGGAGGGCACACTGAATATTAGACTGTTAACATGTCAAAACATGGAAATGTAGTCAAAAATGTTTAACCAAGGTACCAAGGTTATACATTGAAAATAAACATAAGTTACCATCAGCAGACGAGGCCAGATGATGTGCCCTGATCCATTCAACATACTACGTTTTGCACGCCTACCGGATGAGACAGAGCGGGCCTTGACCTACTCGCTTCAAGTTTACTGAGAATATTGCGATGGTATTGTGTGTTCTCATGTTTTCACGTGTCCTTTTTTACGCATGGGACATCAATGGCAAGTGACCAGAATTTTCTAAAGTGCGCTTGTTCACAGGGTCGATACATTTCTTGCCTTGGGTTACACTCCTCTGTCTATTGTCTAACTCCTAAAGGATATACGACAAGGATCGTCCGAACCCCAACGTTGTGGTATTCTATTCTTTATCAAACTCAATGCAAGTATTTTTTTCCCCTGTTTTTCCCCAAATTCAGTATTTCGCAAAGCCAATGCAGCATGATATGACTCATACCGCTAACCTCAAAGGAACCAGGGTTTTAAATTTTTCGCATAGACGATACGGTTTTGTTTCTGATCTCAGTTGTTACACATTAGATTTCATCAAACGGCAGAGGGTAAAAACACTTATCATAATAATGTGCATTGTAAGCGGAGTTTCACTTAAAGTAAGAGGAGTGTTCGATCAACCACATATTTTGGTAGAGAAAATGAGAAACATGAATGTTCCCGAAAATTTGATTGCCTGGATTTTTAGTCATTTAACCAACAGAACCCAATATCATGTCTTCTTTTGTTATCTTAGATACTTTTTACACCAGTACAGGTGCCCCTCGGGGGGACAGTTCTTTAACCGTGTCTTTTTACTCTGTACACTGCTGATGGGAGGCAGACACACGATTTATGCCCCCTTGTAAAATTTGCGTACGACAGACGACTGACAGACAGGACTGACAAAGTACTGAGTGACGTAACTCAACCCCTGGGAGGTGAGTTTGACGAGCGACGAAACGAACGAAGTGGGAGACTGCGACTGCCGACGACGAGGACACAGCGTTATAAACATTCTTTCATCCCTAGGGCCATTGCTGCATGCGATTTGAGACATACAAGGGGAATAGACAAACTTTGATAAGATGTGGTGTTGATGATTTTTAATTATCTGTAATGTATTAATTCTGTATTTTAATTAGATTCAGTACATGTTTTAGAATGCTAATTTTTGTATGTTTTTAATGAGGCTTGTACGCAGAGATGTAATTTCCTTTATGATTAATAAAATAACTATGAAATAAAACTGACAAGAAAAGCGAAGTGGTCGCCGCTGTGCAGCGCTCCTGCTATCACACTATCACACTTAGCTTCTAACGCATATTATGCGTTAGAAGCCGTGTTAGCCTTGCTAGAGTAAACAACATCAGGTAAAGACTTCGTCTGGGTCTTTGCTGTAAAGAGTGACCAAAAAGGCTTCGGGGTGTCCACGATGGCAGTGCAGCTGGTGTCAATGTAGTGATTGTGCTCATAAGTCGAGATTCTTGTAACTGTTGCGTAGTTTTCTAATAATTGCACAATGATCGGCAGAGTCCGATTTGCGAGCTCACCTCTAGGCAAATTTGGCCTTGTTTTGGGCATGGCGCACCTCACCATCAATCCACCCGGGAGCATGGGATTTTTAATTTATATTTTAGGGATATGAATATCTAAAACACCCGAAAAGACTTTGAGAAAAAGCATTGCCTTGTAGAGTTAACAATACTTGCGTCATACGCCTCACTGCGCTGTGAACCTGCCTCAACGCAGAAATAAGTCGACTAACAACAAAGGAAAATAATGACGTCATATGTTGGTTTATAATTAATCATTCACAATGTCCATTGTTTGCTCCCCAGAAACTTTTTTGTGTGAATGGGATGTATAACATTCTTCTGTACCTATCCGGTTCGTAAGTGACTTCGTCACAAAGGCAGACGAGCCACGATTTGCAGGCTCCCACTGGACGATCGTTGAAGATGCATGTTAACTTCCGGTTCCATGTAAACGGAGATCAATGCGTTTAATTCTATGTGCAGTACATAGGCAGTGGGCGTGGTTTAAACTGAAGTGACGTCACACTTACGAACCGGATTCTTTTTTCTTTTCTCCTTCCAGTGTACAATTTCAAAATGGGCTGGTCTGGATTCCCGATGGGGATCCTGGCCTTCGCCATCTGCTTATACCCGATTCCAGCACTCGAAGGGGCTAACCCTAACCCTAACCCACACCCTTTACGGCGAGGGTGCGCCCAGATGCGTCTTGGGCGAGACGGGCGTCCCCAGCTCGACCTCCCCGACATACCGCGAGCGATTAATGCAACCTTCGGCAAGTTCACCGAAGCGTGGCTTGAGGGTCGTGGGCGCAAGTCGCCGCTGCAAATTTCCATCGTACAGAGCCTCATCGAGGAATCCCTGCCCAAGCTGGCCCTGATCGACGCGTATGGGGCGTTGGCCTCGGAGGTCGTCGCAGCGTCCAAAATCTGGGGAGGCATCGTGCAGAACGCGACCATGGAATACTTCCGCGATTCGATGGCTGGTTATCAGCCGGCATTGACCCCACCGCCTATACTTGGCAGAAACGAGAGCTTGGATCATCACGAAATACCCATGGAAAGAAATAGCCGATCAGCTAGAGAGCCCGAGCCGACCCAACCGACCGAAGAACAAGCGGAGTACGGCTTTCATCCCCCAGAAATGGAAGATTTCAACATTTCCAAGCGCGTGGAACTACTGCAAAAGCTAGCCTACTACGGCGTGCTGTTCTTCACGACAGAGGAGGAACAGACCATTGACGAACACCTGGAGAGCGGATCTAGAGTGGCACTGTTTGAACACTTCCTGAATAGTTTACTGCAAGCTCAGATTTCAGACGTGATCATGCATGCTGTGGGTAAGGGTCATCTCCCGGCTTCCATTTTATTTTCCCCATTTAGTTTTAATACCTTTTGGAGCATTCATTTGAAAGTGTTTCAATCTCTTTCAGGGAAAATGAGCGCTTCATCTTGATCATAATGCGGAAGAACTTGTTTCGTAATTTACCCTTGGCACAATATTTTGGGATAGTTTTCCCTATGTTGGGTATCCGCAGATTCTTCCGGTTAGAGAAGGCAGAAGTTTGATAATGAACGAACCACTGTTAAATTCTCGTAACTATTCAAAATATAAGACCCAGTTTTTCTTACATTTGTCGAAGGTTCGGGTGAGATGGGAATTGATGGTGATTGTAGTTTACCCGACAATGGTGATTCCAAAGGCCTTAGCAATAACACCGATATGGGTGGACGTGGCGGAGAAGTCCTCACACGGTATCTCACAGGTGAGAACTACAGCGCGCTCTACGGCGCTTACGGCACGGTGTCATTCAACGTCACGGGCGGCCTGGAATTCGAAAGCCTGCTGAAGACGCTCCGCGGGCAAGTCGACGAGTGGATCGGCCAGGACAACCCGCAGCTGCCCGCCCTCTACAACGTCAACTGCTGGGCCGGGGAGGACCGGTCCGTCGGCTGTAAGGTGTGCCCCCAGAAGGACATGTCCCGCAACGCCACGACAGCCCTCGACTCCCTCGCTACAAGACTGACCGTCCCATTCTCGCTCCTGGGGATTGACCTCGAGGAAGTGTCTGGAGGCATCGGAAGACGATACCGCAGGTGGATCGCTCAAATGCGGACAAGAGGTGAGTGTTGAATGTCTTTTCCTGCTGTTTGTGGCAGGAACACCAGCCGTGACAGCAAACGACGACAATTCAGTAGTGGATCCGGAGGAAGGCGAAGCTTGCGTCCCTTTTTCAATATTCTGGGTAATTTTTTATTGTCTTCGTATGTCAATTGGTTATCCCCCCCTAGTTGTTTTTTACCATCTCTCAGAGGAGGTGTGTGAATCTGTCCCAAGATCAATCTTGTTGAAACTTCTCATGTGCATTGTAGAGACATTGGTAATGTGTTAATCGAAGTTTCCAAGAATAACTCTGATATTGTGTTTTCGTGTTTCATAGTTCACACGTTCAATTGTCTTGATGTGTTCAGCGGCTGAATGAAAAACATTAAAGACAGCAAAGCCTCTCAAGCCCTCCGAGGCCCTCCTTTTGGGTGCTTCATTGTTCAAGGTGGTGGTATTACTGAAATAACACGCGGGTAGTCCTGTTTTCCCCGTTGTTTAACGCTCTTTGGGCGCCCTCTGTTGAAATGAGAGGTTGCGATCGATATTTCTTCAGCGTTTCACATCTTGCTTTGCTGCCGTTCTTGAGCATGACGTTGGCAATGCTTTTGCATGGGGTCCGCCCACTCATTTGACTGAGTTCATTTTAACAATCAGCACGGATCAAACTTTCCGCTCGCGCGTGACACGTGTGCATTCAATATATACATGATTTGATTACGACAGTATTAGTAGCCCGCAATACCTCGGGCGTCGACAGCTCTGACAATTCGTTCGCAAGGTTTTGTCAATACATGTAGTATTTGCCCCGGTGAGGGCGTTGGAGGAGGCGAATATTGACCCTTGATGCCAACAGGTCTTTGAACAGCGCCTCCATCATGTCCGGTCACAATGCCGTATTGACCATGTTGGAATTTTGTTTGCTTGTAATTGGGCAAATACGGGCGACGACCATTATGTCGACCACTGGTCGTTTTTTGCTTGGTAACCTGTGCACAGAAAATCGCCCAGTTGCTGACCAATGAGCCGTGTCCCAGTTATTTCCGAGCGGCCTGCAATTACGCACGGTTCGTTGGAGGTGGCCGGAGCCACAACTCGAACTTGTCCGTCGCTACGGCTTATGGTATAAGAGTACCGAAAGGTGACGTCATGCCGTAAAAACGAATGGAGTACACGCGCGCACTGGTTCAGGCGCTGGTACTCTCGCTAATGCCTTTTACACACATTATTAAGTGTGCATGTGATTTATTGACTTCTGCACTCCATCCGTCCCAAGCTGAAGTACACCCCCCAAAAGGCGAAAGAAAGACGGGTGGTTACAAGCGGGTTCTTGCAAGCGTTCTACGTGTACGCAAAAACTATACATGCCGGAATAAATTTGCTACGCACACTCCGCGTCAAACGCGCATGTACTTGCGCACCTATGCGATGAGTAAAAAAACACCACCTCCTCTTTTGTTCCGCTCAAAGCGGATAGCACGTGCGTTCATAGAAGCCGCTGAGCACCGGCAGCAGCCATTGTCCACGGGTGCGTGTTTGTGCCAGCCCCAGCAAATAATTAGGACGCAGGCCGACGATGGCCTTTGTTTGCTCTTGTGGGCGGCGACTTTGACTCTTCCCTTGGCTCTAGCCCCAGAGAAGAAAGTCCGAAGAGTGTGGTGTGTTGACGGGTGTCGAGTCTGGGATGGAGTTGGGCAAATCTGTATGGAATGTTCCCCTCCCGAAGAGAGGTGCTACCACCGTTGCTTGCGTTTCAATTTTTTTCTTCTAATGGCAATTATATCTCCAGTGTCCTCCCTAGGACACGCCACTGGCGACGGTTCCCAGATAAGTTAATTAAATAAAAGTATCGCAGGGGATATTTACACTCTCACACTTTTTTTTAACGAGGTGAGCAGAATCATTTTTCCATATATTGTTTTTAAATGACGAACGGATCATCACTTGCGAAACTGATCTCAGTGTACAGGCACAAGCAAAATAGAATAAAGACCGAAGCAGGGATCCTCCGGACGTAATGTCCCACCGCATCATATTTTCATCCAAAAGAGCCTACTTCCTTTGCTTTCGCCTCCAAAATGTTTTGTTACAGTTTCCAACTGTGAACATTTACCCAGAGGAACAGTTAGTGCGTCATGTGCTTTCTCTTTTGGTTGTGCAACATTGCTTTGTTGAAAACTGGTTTCGCTAATATGAACCTTCCCCTTCGCTTGTAGACCCAAATCAACGGCCCAGCCCATATTCCTTTTCCAACATTAACCTGTGTTGGATGAGTACTTCGCAAGAATTGCAGAAGCTATATTTTTACCCGAATGGACGCTAAAATGTTGCAAATTTCCAGCCATTTTCTATCAATGCATGTACTTCTTAGCAATAAAATTTTTTGTCTTTAAGTTTCTAATTAGCTTCTGAACCCTAAGCCCCTAAGGTGTATGCAAATTCATATTGAAATCGGAGGATTGAAAAATGTGAGGGATACAGAAGGAAAGAAAATGTACTCATCTGCACAGCCGGCAGAGGCCATTCTCGGAAATCCTATAACCGACATCCTTCGTTGGCCTCTGAAAATGATCCAATGGATGTATATTTCCATTATGCTGTTAATAGTAATCTACTGACTTCAGTTCAAAATTGTCAATGTTTTCTTGTTGATTGTTCCATTATGGGTCAAATAAGGATCGGTTACATGTGCGACATCAGACAGTAACAGGTTTTTTTTTATACCAAAAGCAATGTTCCAAAAACTCTTGGAAACTCTTGGTCGGTAGGTATATATTACTGGGTCATTTTCAGAGGCCAAGGAAGGAATTCAGTTATAGAATTTCCTGTTTTTGTCGAACAGAGAATGGTCCATATAAGCTGTCAGTGTGCAGTCGCACATCTTTGATCGAGACCAAATTGCTACAATTCCATCAATTATATCTCTCCCCACGTGGACAGGGAAAACACTTCTGCCATTGTAAGCGAGACAGATTGGTAGGAACCGTGGTACGTACGCGCAACAGGTTTTGAAACATCAGCGATGTTTGAGGTCGGTCTTGCTTTTTTCCCTGTCTCTCTATACCTACCCTATGTCCTTGCATGAAAAAGAGCGTCCCTGCTTATACAAGCTTGATGAGCTACCGCTGAGCAGTGTTGATTGCTTACATCTGTTGCCGTGGTAACGGATGGCTGCCAAAGATGCGGCCGGCCTTGTCAGAGTCCCCGTGCGTGCGCTCGCTATTATTCCTCCAGAAGCGGTCGATATTCTAGGTTGTGGGGTTTGCTAGGAGAGAGCGAGATAGGAAAGAGGCTTTGGAAAACGAGCGAAGAGGAAAAAACACCCTGTTTATCGGAACTTCTATCATTTACATGTACAAAGAAGTAGAAATCCCCTGCATCCACAAAGGGGAAGCGATTCTTGAGAGGTATTCTCAACTTTTAATTAAAGTCAGGATGTGCATTTCGCTTTCTTCTTATCTTCTTTTTTAGCTATCAGATGGTTCATGAGGGGAAAACCGAACACAAAAACTCTTTTCCATCATATGATATCTATTATTCATTTATCTTGGTTTTTAAAACATTTTATGGAGTGACTTTATTTTTCTGCCGTTTATTTCGCTGTTTATATGTAAATAATATCACACGATTACCCTACTTTGATTACTATCACACTTTTTTGTTTCGCAAGTGGTTTGTGTCGTAATATAAAGCCCTATAACTACATAATTATTGAAAAAGGATTTTTGAAAAACTCACAATCTATTTGAAAAAAAAAACCGTATCACGTCGAAGAATGTTTGTTTAGATTTTAGATATTTTGCACGGACGCAACTAATTTATTTATTAGCGTTTTTCTTGTTGCATTTTTGGTGGCTTGCTGAGGAGAAGGGTATTCCTGCACTAAATTTCCAGAATAATTCTTTGCTGACATCTTAAATGATTATTTACATCCATTACCGACGATCAGCATTTTGGGAACCAACTCGATTTCAGTGTTACTGCATAAATAGGCCTATCAATAGAAAGCGAAACTATGCGGAACAAATCGGACGAATATCTTGAAATCAGTCCTTAGAATTGATCAAGAAGGATTTCCGTTGAACGTTTAGGAGAACACGGGGTCGGGTTGGGTTGGTTTGCTTGTTTTTGTCGGGTTTGCCTTTCAAAGTCTTTCCACAATACCTTAGATGATCATACCAAAATACACAATTGCAAGACTGGGTTGCATCTTAAACCTTGTACGCGTATTTTTTGTTTTCAGTTTTCCCTCTTTCCGGGAAGACTTGTTTGGTTATTCAAAATCACAGTAGGAAGGTGACACTGTATCTGTCTCAAATTGATTCCTTTGTTACTCAATAGAAGTCAATCTACCAAATATATTTCCCATTGATGAATTCTGTCAAATTTCTGGATATAACAAACAACAGGAGAACTTGATGAGTTTCTAAGAACAACGTATCTGGTTGAGAGTGAGTTGAGTTGATGCATGCATTTCTTTCGTAATACGGCGTTACCTCTACTGCCGAACCACTGTAAAATGACACAAAAAGTCTGTATAATTGGTCAAGTTCCAGCCGCACCTACCACATTTGAATAATAGTAGTCCTGCGGGAGCGGAACATGCTTTGTTAAAGGTTGTATCATAAGAGACAAAACTTGGTGATCCAAGTATCAACGACAATGATCGTGGAAAACGTGTTTTTCTAATCAAAACGTGGATGGAAATTATGGGCTCAACACCGGGCCTGAATTGTTTTCGATGGAGCGAGGGGCTTCTCAAAGGGATGAGCATTTTGTCGCTGAAACACGACAAGAACGACAGCAAATAGCACGTTAAATTGGCATCGATTTCTGTTGCCATGGATACTGGCAAACAGGAGGAAAACAAACCTTGAATAGCTTTCCACCCGACGAAACCTCGACATTAGTTCGTTTCCTGCACTTCAAAGGACTTGACAACAAGTTACAACATGATATTTGACTCTAACTCATCTGTGACGAAACCAAAAATTCCTCAAAGCGTGTGTGATAGAAACA